CCAACCAGCTCAGGGAACACTATTAATTGCAAAATTGAGTAACAATATGGTGAGTTCAACTCAAATCATAGAAGCGAGTGACAAGCAAAAGGTTCTACTGTGGAAGAGTGGAGGTGGGCGAGGGGTTCGTGAGACTAAAGACAAAGGGTACGTAGTCAAATGATGTAGGGAACCAAGACATCCAGTTACCAGGGCAAGGAAACAATGATTAGTGCTTCTTTCTTAGGATAAATAAATCGGGTTTCAAGTGTTTGGTAGGAATTGTTTCAACACACTTGAGGAGAACTGAACTATTTTATCTATTCGTGATTGTAAAGGAAGTGATAATGTCAGTCTCATGACCCATATCAAAGAGATGCCCTACAATGACAATATTGAAAGCGATTATTCCTTTGAGGTGTAGGCTTTTTTGACATATATATTCAGAAAATTGGAGGTGTTCCCTACCTTTGTCGCTATGTTTTGAATTGGCAGAAGTTAGAATTCATGCGCCATGGGATCAGGTCTCAATGGTCTACGGGCTAGCCCGTTGGATGTTTTTTTGCTGAAGAGTCCCTAACTGGGACCAAACAGCTGTCCAGTACTCCCAGGTTTTCCAGTGGTTCTCTAACTGATTTCAACTCATGATGAAATCTTCCATCCTTTCTGTTCTGTCAATATAACTCCTCCCACAGATACATGTGAATTTGTATACACACGTTAAGTCTCTGATCCGTATAGTGAGTAGCACTGACTTCATATTGGAGTTGAAAATCCGGATCGTGTTTTCATTTTGGTGCTGAGTGCTGTTGACCCCCACACAGACTTGAGAGTAATGAAAGCTCGCCTTGCTTTCACGATCCTCGCTGCTGTGATATCCTCATCAGTTCCACCCGCCTGTAGTTGAAGCGATGCTTCCCAGGTAGGTAGGTAGGCAGGTAGGTAAAGGAGGTTGTTTCTTTTAGGTTCCTCCCATTTATGCTGGCTAATTGTTGTCTGTTGTTGCTACTGTTGGTGTTGAAACGGGAATCTTCATCACCTCTGTTTTATCTATGTTCACTTGAAGTCCTATCTTTGATGCTACTTCTACCAGCTTGTTGCTTTTCACTTGCATATCTTCCAATTTGTGGGAAATCAGACATATATCATCGGCGAAGTCCAGATCTAATCGCATATATGCATAGTAAATTTTCTTAGCCATAAAATGAATATTTCCAAATAATTTTGATTAGAAGTGTAAATTTTAGTTAACAAATACGTAAACTAGAAAGCGTTAGTCGGGTAAAAACAAAAAAAAATTAGATAAGTTAAGTATTGCATATTAATTTCCCTTGTTTAGTTTGCTTAAATCCAACAAAATATGACCTCTGATAGCATTTATCTTCTCTGGAGTGTCTTTAGGAAATTTGCAGCCTGCTGTTTAGCAGGTTTCTACTAAATATGACAGGAAGGATTGTAACGACAGAAGACAAAGGCCGGGCAACAGATCGTTTATCGAGAAAATCAACAGATATTTATGGATTTTTATGTACATTATTATTCGTTATCGTTAGCAGAGAGACAACGTTTTCTGACTGGTTGTTTTCCTGCTGAAGGTTATTCTTTCATTTCATTTCTTAGGCAGTCCGTCGATATATCTGCTAATCATATCCACCCACGCTAAGTTTGTTGTGATTGGTTGGTGAGTTCCTCAAGGTTATGCTTTGTTCTGGTTTTTTCTCATGACCAAGATTTGGGACGTAAGCGTTCACGTAAATTTCTGTCTAGCAATTTTGGCTAGCAGACAGCTCTCACCACAGTATTATTCTTGACGGATGGCAGCTTATCTATCCTAGTACATGAAATGATCGTTCTTAAGTGGTGTCTTTGCTTCACAAAACGTATCGCTGACATTTTTATGATTAGCATTCGACAAGATGTCGTCGTGTATTTCTCGAGGGGAGAAAAAGAAGAGATTGGTTCGCACTTCAGGTCAGAGGTAACTATGTAACACAATCTACTGTCAATTAGTTTTTTTACTTGCAAATCCTAGAGGAAAGGAAACTATCTTGTAATAAACTCAGTTGAAAATTCTGTAAGTCGTTCAGAATAAGGGTATCATCTTTATTCTTAAGTCAGTCAACATTAGTATCCTTTTATTCTAACCTCTTATGACCCTTAATACACTTGGTAATTTCGGCTAATGAACTTCCTACCTACTCGATTTGCGGGCCTACTATTCTAATCACTATTTAGTAACAACACCAACGACACAACGCCACCAAACAAAGAGGCAAGAAGGCAGACAGCTGACGTAGAATGGTTTTACTGTCTCGAATCAATATGCTGTAAATGACCTTCAGAAACACTAATTACATTGATAAGATAAAATGGAAGACAACCAATAGGGTTCCAAGGTCATAAGTACGAGGGGAATATATACAGCGCTCTACTGTGAAGACAAATGTAGTATTTTAGGAGAATTAGATCTAATAGAACATGATTTTCATACACGAAAAGCATATGAGGTTATTCATATCATGATAACCTCCCCAGTTGACTGGCTTAAACTGTTAGGCATTTCATTGACTAATGAAGCCATATTTTCCTTTGACAATCACTAGCTCTTTCCTAGCATGATGCGTACTATATCATCTAACATTGCCCGTCGAGGAAAGCGTTAGCTACACGTGTATAAGTAACGCATGTCCTATCTCAATCGATATAACTTCACAACCACATCGACTGATTTTTCCTCCTTACCTAGCCTACCACACGACGCCTAACCTCAATATTGCTCACCTTATTATACCACTTCACACGGGAAATAGAACGCAGGCACCTATGATCAAAGACAGCTAATCTTTTCATGTCTTCCACTCTCAATGGCTTCTATGTCTTACTCACGTCCATAAAGGAGGACGAAGTGAACTGCTGAGCGGTATACACACCATTTGATCGACAGTCAGACATCACATCTACGCCAGAGATGGCGTAAGTTGGCAGGTGAATGCCAAACGAGTCTTCTCTAACCATGCTGAGATTTCATCAGCGATCAACGCGCTGTGAATGACTGACGCAACTTCACAAATAAGTGAAGTGGTCAACACTCTCTACCACTTCACTGCCCATCTTTAAGCTAGGAGTCGGTGTAATCCACTCCTGTAACATAATCTTACATTCGACTTGCCATAAGCGGTTAGACTTCGAGTATCGTAAACAGAAGAAACGACAGCCACCCGGATAAAAACAGCCCCAATCACGCACGCAGAAAAAAATATTTAACTACCTTCACTATATTGGCTGTCTTTGGAATTAAGCATTTCGCAAGCACCATAAACACGAAGCTGTTTAATTTCGGTTCTAGAAATATTTTCCTAGCCCACATTATCTTAAATATTCCTGTCAAACTTTTCTCACCTTACACTCATGTACATTTACTCAGAACTATAATCTCATTTATATTATGTGTTTATCTAATCCTGACGCATAAACACACACACCACCCTTTTTTACCCATTCGATCTTTTATGGCCAGCCTCGAAAACAACTTCTTATCATCGACTATCACTGACCTCCATCTTTACAACAGATACATTGATGATACTTTCATCATTTGTGATGAGAACCTGGACCTTGAATACTTATTTCAAACCTTCAACAACGCCTACCAAAACACCAACTTTACTGTCGAAGCTGAATCCAACAGAATGTTCCACTTCCTCGACGTTCATCTGAAAAGAAACGCTGACAACTCTCTGAAAAGGTCCATATACAAAAAGTCTACATGGAATGAACAATTCATCAAATTTTCAAAGCTTCGTGCCTCTTAGCAGAAACAGGAACCTTTTTATACTCTCTTTCCTCGAGAATAGAGAAGATATGCAGCGAAGAAGTGATTGACGAAGAATTGTCTAATCTCAGAGGAACTCTAATGGAAAACGGTTTTCCGCCTAGGTTCATAGACAAGAATCTCACATAAAGAAGATTTCCGAACAATTCCAATCCGCCCCGAAGAAGATACTTCTGCTTAATCTACAATTCAAAGGTGACAATAAAGCAGAAATCATTCGTAAACGCATCTCCAAATCTCTGAGGAAAACATACTTCGCCGCAAGGCTACGACTGACGTTTTCCTGCAAGAAACTGTTCAGCCAGAACGCGAAAGACAAATTGTCGCAAGGGCCACTTGAACGTGCATATACCAGTTTATTTGCTCCTGCGGAGCTGAGTACATAGACCGTGCCATGCGACAAATTGAAAAGCGCACTTGTGAACACTATCCAATCTGGCTAGTAAAAGGAGAACGAAAACATGCATACGGTTCAGTGACAGAACATCTGGTCAGCTCAAGACGTTCTGTGTCATTCGAAAAATTCTTCAAAATAATATACCAGATTCAATCAAACCTATCAAAGGGAAGAAAATTAAGACATCTGGGCACAGCCAGGGCACTAGCCATCCAAAAGCTCAAACCCACGCTATGTATCCAAAATAAATACGTCCAACCCTTGTCCCTGCCATCATACACAGGTAATTCTTTTATTAGTGACTATCCATTGACTTTCTTATCCAAACTTCCTGTTTATTCATGTTATTTTTTAAAGTTTTTCTTAACCCCTTTTTACACTATCATATTCTCATATCCGAACTTCCTGTCTAATTTGTCATTTTTCTATTTCTACATATTTAATCCCTAGTTGCATAAACAATTATTCATCACATTAGTTATGATCCCATTAGATTTTTTATCTAAAAATCTTGTCTATTTTTGTTATTTCTACATTTCTAACCCCTAATTGCACAATATGTCAATGGCCTCAGTGATTATGATGCTACTTCGTTTGAGGTTTATCCGTCCCCTTGTTTAATATGGCATTTTAATTCCTAATTTTAATTTTATTAATATGACCCTTAGCCGGAAGTTATTCTGGAACTTTCCCACCTATTTATTATAAATACACGAATGTACAACTATCTAGGTGACGGTGACTTCGTCGTAAAGAAAATTTCCTTCGCTGCAACCGTCTTTTTACAAACTCCTATGATCGAATGTGTATATTCCGTAATCTTTATTCACAAAACGGAAGGGAGAAGGAATTCAAAGTTAATGGCATTAAAATTTCAAGATCTACAATCTATTTGGCTTTTTTTCGAAACAGCATAACACACTAAAGTATATTACAAAAGAAAAGAAGGTTATTTTAAAGTGGCCACTTCCATTGGTCACGAGGAGCTTCTTCAAGCAGTTTTTCCCATGGCTTCCATTTAAGCATATTACGAGCTAAATCATATTCCCTTTCAGCCTACAATAATAAAGGTAATAAGAAAAAATAATGATAATTTAGTCAGGAGTGTAAATATTAAGTCACTTAGATAAATATATGTGGGGTCTAGGTGTATCAGGTTATGGTGTCACACTTGCAATGTGTAGTCTGATTTTAACTATTCAAAGATTCGGAAGTCTGTAAAAGAAAAGAAAAGACAAATCCAGCGAAGAAAATGCTTCTTTATCGACGAAATCATCTTCCTTCAGAGGCTGTACAGTCGTATTTATATTTAACAAAAATGTATAGTAGTCTATTATTGAGTAATAGCTGTCGGGGTGACATAATTGATACAATTATTCAGAAGTGGTCTTGAAAGCAAAAATAAAAGTTGTAAATTACGTGGTACTCAACGACACAAAGATAGAAATTTGATAAGGTTAAAATTGCTATTGAGTGGTGAGAAGAAAGGTGATAGTTGAGTGTCAATTTAAAAAGTGTGAAGAGGGTGTGACATGTACCAAAGGAGCATATGAAAGTGATAATAGTGAATTAAGTATTAAAGTGAAAGCAAACTGAAAGTAAAATTTAAAAAGAAAAAGAAAAAATTAAAATTTTATTTTCCAGGGAACGACTAGTGAAGAGGTTAAGACCAAGGTAGAATAAGAGATTGGACAAACGTTTTCTGTATACAGAGTTCGGGGTTGTATTGACAAATTGTCAGCGCCTCCGCCGTACACAAATGCCGAAACCTGACGCCCTTTGCACCATTTGGCCTCACCTTGCAGGCAATTTTGAAAGATGACTCCGGTGGATCTGTGTGGTCTGAGTTCACCAAGTCAGCACAAAGCGCACACTTTCCAAACGCATCTCTGAACATTATCCGGCATGGTTAGCAAAAGGACAATGCAAGACGATTACTAGCTCATTCTTGAACACTTGGAATGGCAGTCACCTCTCTACCTCACTCAACTTCATCGACTTTGAAAAGGCATTCAGCAGACAACATCGATCGAGAGGTCATTTGGCAGCTACTTCGCTACTGCACGGTGCCATCAACAATTATACATCTCATCCAACAGTTATACAACAATGCTGCATGACAAGTAATCCACAAAGGGAAACTCACGGAAGCCTTCGAAGTGAGGACGGGAGTGAGGCAAGGCTATCTACTATCACCAATGATTTTCCTGATCGCAGTAGATTGGATAATGCGGCAGACAACGGAAAAAGCAATGAGGAAACAGGCATAAAATGGACTCACACAAAAAACTTGGAGGATCTGGACTTCGCCGATGACATATGTCTGATTTCCCACAAACTGGAAGATATTCAAGTGAAAAGCAACAAGCTGGCAGAACAAGCATCAAAGATAGGACTTCAAGTGAACATAGATAAAACAGAGGTGATGAAGATTCCTGGCCAATACCAACAGCAACAACAACAACAGACAACAATCAGCTTGCATAAGTGGGAGGAACCTGAAAGAAACAGCCTCCTTTACCTACCTGGGAAGCATCGTTTCAACTACAGGCGGAAGTGATGAGGACATCAAAGCCAGAATCGGAAAAGCAAGACAAGCTTTCATTACTCTTAAGTCTGTGTGGAGGTCAACAGCAATCATCATTTTCAAGCATTTTCTTCGCTGAATTTGTCTTTAATTTCCTCATGGTTCAATGGGTATTTTCGGTGGTCTGTGTAAAAGAGTTGCATAATAGTGATTTATTGGTTGGGATTTAAGTGAGTAAAAGCTCCGAAATCAGCAGAAAAAGAAACAACAAACTTCTCACTTGAACTATTAACTATGACATTCAACCAAACACACCATCTCCTCATATGTTGCATGATGCAACAAATCAGGAATGCTAATTAATAAGCCATACTACACGTATGACTAATTCAATTCAAGAGTGGGTTTCATTTACGAACAGGTTGCTATTGTCATCTTATCACGTGGTGAATTGGCAAAAGTTGGAATTCATGCGTTGACAATTGGATAGGGTCCCAGTGGCTTAATGGTCTACGAGATCGCTAGTCGTGTCACCAGAAGGTCCTGGGTTCGAACTCCACTTGGTGGGTGGGTACTGCTTAAATTCCCAAACTAGGCTGACGAAACAGCTATCTGGCAGTACTCCCAGCTGGTTTTCCAATAATTCTCTAACCAATATCAGCTTATGATGAAATCCTGTAACCTACCACATTTGTATTGACTAAATTTCAATATTACAGTTGAGAGAAAAGGATATATTAGAGCACTAGGAATACTGTTTTTATCAAGAACTGCATAATATTGTCTAAATGCAATCAGTTGTCGAATCTGGCCAGTTCAAGGTGTACATATCAGTTCACCTGTTGCTGTGGAGCCGGGTACATTAGCTATTAGGCGCGTATCCTATCTTCAAGCATTTAAGAACACTGTCTCTCTTGACTGCAGAAAGGTAGTATTTGTTCGATAATAAGCGCGGTAATCTAACACATTTTGTCAATATTGGTTATTCCATCTCAAAAAAGTCTGTCTGTCTATCTGTTTTCGACATAGAACTTTGCACATGTGTGCGCCAGTTCAAGTCGTCACACTCCCTTCATGTAGCACACAAATCAAGAGAAGAAAGTACAAGAAATGCATATTAGAGACAGTAAACAGAGGTGTGAGACAAAGGAATAGTAGTAACGAAGAACAAAACAGTTTCATTGGAGATCATAAGTCACAAGAAGTGGATGCATCAGTGCCGGTCATTGAGAATGGTTTTGAGCCATGTCACCAATTGTTTCCAACCATTTGTTTTTACCGTCCCGAGGACCCCAGCCTGGAAGTCTACACCTCCCTATGTGGCTTAGACTAACTGTTGTAGATCATATTCGTACACATATCAAAGCCACCGAAGTCAGCATCCTAGGACAAAAGCACCCACTGACAGAAGATCTCCACCTTCTAAAAACACACACAATCAGACCTAAGAAATGCTTACCAAGTGCATGTGATTTTATTAAAACATTTAGGTTTGAAACCTCATTTTTGCAAATTTACGACTAGTGAAGTTCTTAAGGAAAGACTGTACACACTAAATCATCATAGAAGTGTCTCTTGACAGTCAAACTAACATTGTGACATCACAAAAGATGGAGCGGACTGTTGTTGTGTGTAACTTGACTTTGGCATACAACTAACAACCTCATTTCTCGCCCAACTAGGACTTGTTCAACTATATCGATACACACACTTGATGAACACTAAATTTCATCTGACGGTTATGCGTCATACAATTCTTCTGTTTTATGAATTTGAATATAACAAGAACAACAGTTTCTGCAGAATAAGATGAGACTATCATTTATTTTGTTGGCTTCTCATCATCTGCATAAAAAGCCTTGAGAAATTATTAAGTTTGTGCGCAGACGGTTACTTTTGTAACGGGAAATAAACTGTAGCTGAGGGCGTCAAATCCATCATAAATTATTATTACAATTGCTTCATTTAGTTCCTAGAGGAACATAGGGTTTCAACCACCCGTCTCCATTGAGTCCGATTCTGCACAAACGTCTTCACTTGGCTCCACGTTTGCCCACATGCTTTCATATTCTCTTTGCATGACCTCACCCTCGCACCAACTCGCCGCTTCCCATTCGGTTCCACTCGAGAAATGGCCTAGCGTGTGATGACACCTCTATTTCTTCTTGCATACTTATTGCACAATTGGTTCCTACTGAGTTGGTTCGCTCCAAGAGATCCCTGTTGCTGATCTTTTCTGGCTGGCCGTCTGATCTTGAATCGTATTGAGCGAAAACAACTGTTGATGAAAGTCTGTAGTGTGTTCGAAGTCGCCTTCGTGACGCTGCGCCAAACCTCTGGATCCGTATAGTAGCGCTAACTTCACATTGGAGTTGAAAATCCACATCTTATTTTTCATCCTGAGTGCTGTTGATCTCCATACACACGTGAGAGTAATGAAAGCTTGCTTTGCTTTCCCGATGGTCCTTGCTTTGATATCCTCATCAGTTCCGTCCGCTTGTCGTTGGAACGATGCTTCCCAGGTAGGTAGGTAGTTGGTAGGTAAAGGAGGTTGCTTCTTTCAGATTCCTCCAATTTATGTTAGATGGTTGTTGTCTGCTGTTGGCCAAGAATCTTCACCACCTGAAATCCTATCTCCTCTGGATGTTTCTTCTGTCAACTTGTTGCTTTTCACTTGCATATCTTCCAGTTTGTGAGAAATCCATGATAAAATATGACAACTATTCATTGTCATATTATTTAAATATTTCTTAAAATAATTCTTTAAGGGATCTACTATTTCCATTCCAATATGTAAAAGGTTTAATGAATTCCTTGGGAAGAGCAGGAAGTTACTCATGGAAACAGTATAAATGGTTTAAATAAAAACAAATTTGTTCACTTGTTTAAATATAAACGGCAATGTAATTATTATGCACTGAACAAGACAGTACAGTAGATAATATTCAGCAGAAGTAGTCCATAACAAAATATACTTTACCTGTACGATAACTTCTTCAATTTGACCACAATCGATAGTCGATTCAAGAGTAGGAACATCTGGTATCTTTTATAAATTAGAATTTGCTATCACACATCACAATATCAAGTTACCTTATTAACAGCATTTAGCCTAGATTGTACTACTTCACTTGTATGTCTACGATAACTAGATTCTTCAGGCATAAGTGCTAACACCTTGAGAATACGATTATACAAGGATGTTAAAATCTAAAAGTTAACGGGGGTTCATTACACATCACACACATCAAGTGAAATGAAATTACAAGATGAGGATTTTTCGACACTGGTAATCCAGTTAGTAGTGTACTCTAAAAAACACATTGAAACTGTAGCTTTAAGGTTGAAAGAAGTCTTACTCTCTTTATTGATTGCATTATCTACTCAGGCCTATAAATAAAAAAGGCAATAATTAGACAAATAAGACTTATATTATTGTGATCAGCAAAAGGTTTTAAAATAACCCTTCTGATGTGTTTCTCCTCCAATGAAGCACTAGCGAACGCCATAAAGCCGGAATAAAGCAATCCCTGTTGTATTGAAAGATGACACCATCCCTCGAATTTAAGCTTCAACTTCTTTTCTAATGAAGGAGTTGGTTTCCCAAACCACTATAGTCATCATAGTTTATTTTTCTCAAACGAACCTTGTGCTCCTGCAGAAATGCATACCGACCACCATGTATTGCCTTTACGATGATATTAGATGGGAACACATGAAGCAAATATGTCGGTTGGGTAACTGCAGACAACCCAACCTAAACTTTGAAAAAGGGAGAGTGGCATTTTTCACGCTGTGAAGTAACTTCTGCTTTTGTTGTGTAAATCCTACCAGAAGCCTTTTGGTATACTCTAATCAGCATAATTAGCTCAAATATTTTTTGTCTCCTTTCGTGGCTTCTCCTAAGGTTTATATACAGCTGTGTGTATCCACATACACACATATTTGTCTCTGTAATCTTATAAACATACCGACATAAATCTCACGAATAACTGTGGACGACTAAACTGCCACTTTCATGTTGATGATGGATGCAGTATGATAGATGTAGTAAGCTATCGTCCCTGACGGTGTTGCAGCAGTTCGTTGGACGTCCTCATCCAAGAGGCCGTAGGACTTCTTATGTCGAAGAAATTGACAAAAGTCTCATAAGACTGAGACTGAACCATATTCAGAAGCGCTAGACGCAAAAGAGGCACAGTATACCAAAAGGTCTGCAATGGTACGCAAAAGGTCGCGATAAATCTAAGAGGGCAAGTAGTAGCAACATTGTAAGATCACTGGGTGACACTACCACTACCTCTTAGGAATAAGGTCCCTGAATTGGAAGTATTATCTGAAAGACTACAACTTGATATGGCTGCTATCACTGAAACATGGTTGTTAGTGGGTGTGGACTTAACTCCACTCATATCTGGGTACACCTGCGTTAGAGCAGACATTGATTTGTTGGAAAGGTGTTGGGGTTGCCTTATATATCCGGGAAGACATAGGAATTAGGTCAACGTTGTCAGAAGCGCATGGCAGCGGCACTAATGAAGCAGCAAGCTGTCATTAACTTAAACAAGGGTAGTTTGATGATTGGGGTTATTTATAGAAGTTCTACCAGCTAAGATGATAATTTCGTACTAAATAACCTCGGGTGTGGAGTAGTAGAAATAGGTGTCCAATAGTAGGTGATTTGAACGCCTCAACTATTGATTGGGAGGAATTAACATCCACTAGGTTGCGTACCTGTTTCAACAGGAAACACGCCGACAGTGTTTGAATGTGCACTTGTGCAGAATGTACATGCACCAAAACGATACCACTCTGAACATGATCCGTCTACTCTAGACCTGGTGCTAACACACCAGAAAGAGGATGTCGGTGACATTAGGTGCCTTCCGCTGCTAGGCAGTAGTGATCATGTAGTTAACACTTTTACGTTTAAGATTCACGCTACTATACATAGGTCAACAACTGCTCGTCCAAATATTTGAAAAGTGAATATATCTGCGATCCGGAGCGCAGCAACCCAAGCTGACAAGTCAGTTTTGATATAAATCAGACTGTCGAGGAAGCTTGGGTAAGATTTAGTAATGCACCAGATTGCGTCACCGCACCTTTTATACCTTGGTCTATGCTTCAAAAGCTGTTGCATAAACCACCTTGGATTAGAAATGAAATGTGGAAGGTATTAAGACAGCGAAAGAACCCATGAAACCGGTTTACTGTCACATGAAGGGAGGAGTTTCGGATGGACTACCGCAAAATTCAAAACTTCTGTAAGTATATGACTTACAAAAGTTGTGTAGAGTATGACAGATAGTTAGTGCATCATCCAAAAAGCCTGTACTTGTATATCAAACGTAGGACTAAAACTAGCAGTGGTATACCGTCACTCATAAGCAGTACTATAGAGGCGGCCGAGTCAAATGAAACGAAAGTCGGAAAGCTCTCGGGATACTTTTGCGATGTTTTTTCATCTAGTCGTGCAACCCAGGGCATAGCGAAGTCACTGCCATCGCCACTAAAGTGCCCTCGATCGTGATATAGGACGCAGAGATTCTCAAATTACTGCCCAAACTGAAGTTAGGTGAATCATCGGGACCCAACAGACTTCACCCTAGACTGCTAATCTCCTTGGCGGATATAATATACATTCCACTTACACAGATTTTTCAAATGTCTCTGACTCAGGGACTGAAAGAATACAATTGTAAGCCCTATCTTCAAAAAGGGAAACAAGCGGTTGGTATCTAACTACTGACATGGATTAGAGTGAAGGTATTGGAAACAATCATAAGGGATCAGCTCGTAGCTCATAAGGGGAAATATAGCTTAATGGCGGGGGAACAGCATGGATTCCGACCAGGATGATCCTATCTGACAGACCTACGGCTAGCTAGGGAAGAATGGCTTGAAGCCAGGAATAAGAACCTTATATTTGACGTTGTCTTTACCGATCTTAGTAAAGTAGTCGATAAGGTATCCCATTTAGGTCTTCTTAGTAAACTAAGAGGTTTTGGATTAGACCAACGCCTCTGTGAGTGCTTTAGGGACTACCTGATGGATAGGTCAGAATTAATGGTGTACTATCACGGTGGAAAGCAGTAATGAGTGGAGTACCTCAAGTAACTGAACTTGGCCCCCCTTCTAATCCTATTATACGTAAACGAACTGCCGAAAGTTTTTACATCAACTTTATTATTTGCAGACGATGTTCAATTCAGGCTTATAGTCAGTTGCAGAAACTTAGGGTGCATTGAAGAATGTTTGAGGGTAGGTTTCGGACGCACTGCAGAATCCTTAGGCAGACTGCAGATCATTATTCCACGTTTTGCGGTTCATCCGAAGAAAATGCTAGCTGCGATTTATTCGGATACACGCGGTGATACATAAATTACACAAAATGCCTCGAAAGTGGACATAAAGCAATACTTGAACTAATTGGGACAGTTAGAGTAAATGAAAAAGCTTCTGATTTGATTTACACAAGAAAAGTAAAAGTTACTTCACAAGGAAAAAATGTCACTCGTTTGTCGAAGTGGTTCAAGAGACCAAATTCATTAAAGGAAACTATTTTGGCAGGCAAGAGTAAACAATAGCCACCAAAATCAAATGAGCTTTAGTTAGATCACTCAGCATTACGAATGAACGCTGTTCATAATAATCTTTTCAAGTTTCCCCTTGACTTAGTTTTTGACTTCTGCATGTAAATTAGGTTGATACGGAGGACTAAAAGATTGATATGTGGAGGGACAGTGACTTTGCAGAAGTAGTACCAGGCTTTCGATGGTCATGCATTCAGTAAAACCACTGTTAAATGAGTGAGTTGTAAATTACGGTGGCTTTTGGGCACCTTCCTCTTGGAATCGAAACTCCCTAAGAAAAATATGATAGATAGTCACTTAGATTTTTTATCGACACTGGTTTTATATGTCTGCAGACACTCCTGTGAGTTGCCGACGCCTATTTTCACAGCATATTAGGGATATTCACCCTGTGTGATTCATTTCGGTAACATGTATTTTAAGAATACATTTTTCGTTAGTTAAATACCAACCTACACTTAGAACCTGATTGGATCTTTCAAGGTTGTCTGTTCCTTACTGTTAATACCTTAATTTGAGCCGAAGTGTCATCTCTCAGTTGGACAGGGGCTGCTCAAGTTCGGCATAATGGCAACATTGCATTAATTTTCGTGAACTGAACCAATACGTACCGTTTCAAAAGTTTCGAGCGCCTAAATAAAACCACATGTCAATGATCAATGTCGTTTTTCTTTTCAAAATAAACGAAATAGACTTCTTTTTGCTTGCCTCCTAGTTTTAAGGTAAAAGTTTCTGGTCTTTCGTAGACTTCGCAAATATGCGTCTCCCCACTGTTTATAGACTTTCGGGGATTAATACCTCTAGGCTCATATTAATCGTCACATAATATACACAGCTAATATGAAATCATCCCAAAGCCCCAGTGTGTAAATAGCAATGTATATAGCGGAAGAGGTCTTAACAATAATGGTAAATGCTATATTTCTACTATAAGTTAACTCCCAATCTCTTGAAACCTCTCTAATTTGTCCGCTTTTTGGTAAAACCTAGCCCCCCTCCCGGATATTATACTCCAAGCGTAGTGTGACTTATGCTGCATACAGTGAAGGATATGCATCAGCGTCTGTTTCTAAGTGGAACCTGGAGTGCACCTTTCAGGGCACCAATTATACTTAGGCCCAAAATGAGTAGTCCAAGCTAAACTAACTTAATATTGCACAATGATATAAAAGTAAAACTTGTGCACTGTGGTTGAGTATCATTCCATTGTGGGTAGAATTTGTTTTGTCAAAGTCTCACACTGCTATACACTAATGTTTACTGATAACGTTTCGAGCCCAATTTAATGCTCATAATCATATCAGAGTACTCACGCAACTTCCTAAATTCGTTTATATAACATACATTTATATATATAGACAAATTTTACCCATAATAATAATAATTAATACTACGCAAACAAAAGCCTAATCTTCCTGCTGACGTCTCGTATCTTCTAGGTTTTGTTTCAACTGGCACTCATCCAACCAGGCTTGGATGCCACATAGCGCTCCACCTTTGTTTTGCATGCCTGCACATCCTCTGAGTATGCAATAAAGATACAGATAATTTCTAAAATCTTCACACCAAACGACTTTATTAATTTATTGTATGTATTATATATAGTGAACCTTCAAAGACACCAGACAGACTACGGCTAAAATGAGTAGATGAAAGTGAAGCAGCTTGATCTCGACTACAAAGTGCCTAGCTCGTCTGTGGACGCATTAGGTGCAAGTGCAATGTAATAATAATAATAATAATTTACTTTATTCCAAAAACAGTACTTGTGATACAGAATGGAATTTTCAGAATTAATCACAATATTGCATCTAATTTCCTCAAATTATAAATAAAATTAATCACACAGAAAATTTTCCACATTTACAATAGAGGTAGTGTCAAAAACATGCAGCATATAAAATGGAAATAGCAATAATAATGATAACAGCTAGGGTAATAATAATAAGAATACCAGTGAAAATTGCCGTTGGCTTGTGTCACACAGTATTGTCAATGTGGTATGGAAATCCTAACATGTTTAAAAATATTGAATATAATGTTCTCTTTACATGATGGTGATGGTGAGGGGAAAAACAAAGATTACAGCCGTCATGGAGATAAGTTGGTGTTTGCAATTATGAGAGTAAAACAGAGAATTAACAGGACCATAAATATAATAGAAGTAATAAAAGTAAAACTTGAAGGTATGTAAGGATGGATGGAGAAAATTGTTTATTTACTAGATGAAAGGTTAGTTAGTTCTTGCCTGACACTATTTTCACTATGTATCATTAATAAATGCATTCATAAAGGAAATACAATGGGAAACCATATAATCTTTAAGCTAGAAACGTTCATTTGCAATGTAAAATGCTAACCACATAGGTCTTACTATCATGATGTACACTTTTGTCTTTAATACAATTATTCTCGAGCCGATTGTTTTTATTTCACACCTTCTTGTGTATTTGGTGCTACAACCGTACCCTACAGATAATAGGAATAGAATAAGTCGAATCGAATTCATAAAGAGCTATAAAATGTTAGGTTTAATGGAATATAATGAGCATCAAGTAAAGACTTTATTAGAAAATGAATGAGATGAGACCTTGTGAAGTGGTATTAAAAGATCCGACAATGGGAAGCAAGTTAATTTATAAGATGCCATATAAATCTGTGAAGAGCCCACGTGGTCGCACCTCAACATTAGGCTCAGCGAATGGTATGTTTAAAGGCAGAAGCATAATCTGTCTAGGCGTTCATTATTATCTTTTTCAAGATAAAGATCTAAGTCCTCATAAAAATCTCGAGCCGTCAAATTTCATATTGCTGTTGTTGTTCCCATCCATAAATATGGGCCTATAGTCGGTATCAACAACTGCCGACCCATCAGCATCACTTCTGTAGTTTCACGTGTAATGGAAAAGATAGTGATGACTCAAATCATTCAGTACTTGCTCTCAAATGACCTACTATCCCAATGCGGTTCCTTCATTAGAAGTTAGTGCATTACTTGCCACTTAGATTATTTTGACTTCATTACCCTGCGCACAGAAAATGGGCATTTAGTAACAATATTATTTCTCGACATAAGTAAAGCCTTTGACAAAGTCCTACATATCGGACTCCAGTCCAACGACATAACTGGAAATCTCATTTGGATAAATTATTTCCCACAGAAAGAGAGTCTTCAGCTGTCTCCATCAATGCCGATATCTAGTAGTGTAACACGGATTAGTGTTCTTGGCCCTACTCTGTTCGTTTTATTCACAAATGCCATAGTCTCTGTTATCAAGTATGGCGAGCCATACCTCTTTGCAGGTGATCAAAAGGCAGTATGTGATTATTTGTGCGATGAAATGAGCGTTGAAAACAACTTCCGGCGTGAGTGAAACAATCCAGTTCAAATAGATGATGGAATGTAGAGATGTGAAAGTATTTTTATAAATCATCAAATTATTCAAAAATAAGGTGAGATCCTCGGAGTCATCTTTTTTAATTGCTGACAACTGTCTTTGAAAATGCCAAATACGCCCTCAGAAATCATGGATGGCTTTCCAATTCCCTGGCTTTCGCGTAACCCTCCTAATGATACAAGGATTTACAGAATTGCACTGCACTTTTAGCCGCTCCAGTACAATTCCTCAATAAGTACATCAATCTTACTTCATCAGTCAGTCTGTTATCACTCAGCATAACTTCAGTCTCCCTCCATAAAGTGAGGGTAGTCTGCTGGGTTTCCATCAGAAGACCGTAGCTCAAAGTAAAATAAATCAGGGGCTATGCTTTCCTGGATAGACTTGTTCCTCGACAAACGATTTTCACAGCACTTACCAACCTATATCTCAAACATATCATCAGTAACATGAAGCATTTCATTAAAGACACTTGCCTTGTGCTTGCGTCCAAACTATCTCGTCTTTCCTTGGCCCAGGCATTATAGCGCGAAACCAGAATCCGGACCAGAATGCATATAGTAAACAGTGCTTGTAAAAAGGATAAGAATTAAGGACCATCAATGGAGTAACCAGAGTGCTGACAATATCCAGGCAAATCCACACAGAGGAAGCAAAGGAAACTGCCAGTAGTTAAGCAGGTAAATCCAGAAAAAATAGATCATGAAATATACCATCTTTGAATGAAACTGGAACTCAGACACCGTAGCGCAATAGATGAGTAGATCGGAATCCCTCATAAAGACATCAGGGAGAGGCTCCGTAGCCAGAAGACAACTATCGGGAACTCAAAATATTCTTTTATGCACATAACCAACTCAATTTCACGCGAGCGGTGTTCAAAGACAGACGGTGGGTCAAAAGCTTCTTGATCCTCTAAATGTAAGGCAATACGACAGGTTAATTTCACATTAGTTTGGTAGTATAATTCATAGCCATTCATGAGGTAATCCTGGTACTCCCTAAATTGCTGATGTTTTCGCGCATGCTTTCTGTGATATACATTAATCGCTCATTGATAGATGATCCTGAAATTTATGGTCGAAATTTCTGAAAGCGAGTTCGTACAAACACAACTGTTTTATATAGTGGCTCAATCTCAGTTATAACGGCATTTCTGTAAACTAAATCTCCTTATGAAAGATATCCAGAGGTAAGTAAGTGAACTTCGGGGAAAATTAGGTCAGTTTGACAGCATGAAACTGCCTGTCAATGTAGTTGAAAATTGAACGATCAATTCATGGTTGTTTGCCTAAACCCAACTCTGTATTTTTCGAGGGAGTCATCAATATGGCATTCATCGTCTCACCGTTCGGTGTTCGTTGGAGGACAGAGAAAACTATCAGAAGTATTACCGTGATTTCTTGTTATAACATTTATTCTTAGACTTTGTGTACAATAACCTAATGGTTGGCTCTGTATTGTTGCAAAAACAAACGGTTCTTGAGTCACCAATTTGCGTTCTGCATTTTCGTGTTATTTATTACGCATAGTTTCTGAAAGTCTTCCAAGGACAGCGTGAGGTCCAGTGTAGTAAGACCTGGACATTTACAAATGCTGTTGCAGAAATCTACCAATCGGGGATGAAATCCGAAGCACATCTGGGTTAGAAAACAACTACATGACCTAAGAAAATTTTCTTATATATGATATTTAGGAATAAGACATCCAGTCGGGCCCCAATCCTGACTATTGACAACGACACAATAGAAGCAGAAGCAATAACAGACTATTTCTCCCAGGTATTTACACAAAAGTTGTCACTCTCCATAGGATCAGCTCTCTCTGCATCAGAAGAGCACGGAGTAAACTCCGTTGACGTTGATCAGGACATTGTGCTCAACTGCCTGAAGTAAGTTAACGCAGGGAAATCAGTGGGTCCTGATAATCTTCACTCAAGGCTTCTCAAGGAGCTATCAGCTCACATAGCTGGCCCATTGACCGTGATCTTCAAGCTATCTCTCCTATATGGAGTGTTACCACGTGGCTGGAAAGACGCCATAGTAACCCACATCCACAAAGAAGGATCAAGACAAAGCCCTTCAAACTACAGGCCTATTAGTCTCACCAGCACTTTAATCAAGACACCGGAACGGATAATCAAGAAAAGTATCATACTTGATCGTGCCTGTAAAAATGGTATGCATTTTCATGTAAATTTATATGTTTATATGAGAATATACATTATTATTATTATATCTGGAAAACAACAACTTGGTATCCAGAGCACAGCATGGCTTCCGGAGGAACCTCTCATGCCTGTCAAATCTTCCTACTGCCATAGGAGGATGGTTCAAATCAAGGGACAACAGAGGACCCGTTGACGTCGTCTTCATAGACTTCAGCAAAGTCTTCAATAAAGTTCCCCACAAAAGACTACTCATGAAGTTGGAAAGTCTTGGTATCAAAGGCAGCTCACTAAACTGGATTACGGAATCACTCATAGATGACAGACAGAGGGAGGAAGTCGTGGTCAAACCGAAACCCTCCTCCCAGACAAGTGTTAGCAGTAGAGTGGCAGAAAGCTCGGCACTCGGACCTCTCCTATTTATTTTGTATATCAATGAGTTATCTCTGCTCACTGATTCCCCTATGGTCCTATATGCAGATGACTTAAAAATCTGGAGAGAGCTGAAGGGCGAAAGTGATACGTTCACGTTGCAGGAAGACTTCAACAATTTGCTGGAGTGGTTCAGAGAGTGGATGCTGCCGATCAATGCAGCGAAATGTGCAACCGCAGATCATCGCTGCGGTGGCTGCGATTCATATAGCATTTACCGAAATCACCAGAGATATGTTCACCTCCCTACATACATCTCTGGTGAGGTCAATAATGGAAACTGTATCCAGGCAGACAGCCAGTCCTTGTCTTAAAGAGGACTTGCGTATTCTAGGAAGGGCTCAAATGAAGACAACACGTATGATTCCCAACATGACTAACTTATCATACGAGGAAGGAATAGACAGTTTAAATCTCTTCTCCCTACCATACCGTAGGCAGAGAGGAGATTTAATCACAATGTTTAAAATTTTAAATAATGACTATGGACATGGCTTATTCTCTCTTTCCCTTCCCACCAGGTCGGAAAACCTCGGATGACATATCAGGAGAGTTCAAATCCAAGGAAAAACCATAATGCTGTGGAGTCCTGGCTCTCACACTGAGTCGTTAACTACTGGAACCGACTCCCAGAAGAGATGAACTTGCTGTCTCAACCTCAATTGACCAATTCAAGAAGGGCTTAGACAGATGCAGATATTGACTAGAAAAGGATTAACACAGGCTCAGAGCATTCTGTCCTTAACCAGTTAATCCGAATATTAAATCTGAATCTAGTGAAAAAGAACATTGGATATTGGGTAGCATGAGCACAGAGCGCTCAGTATGCAGTTTTGCGGTACCTTCATTTTCGGCATTTCTTATGTTTAATCTAAACAGACCTTTCTTTTTTATGTTTTGAGTCATTAAAATGCCATTAACTGATGTTTAGAGTCCATTTATTGCGAAATCAAAAAGTCCTATTCCTTCGAAAGGCACATGTTCTCGCTGTCTGACATCGTACGATGTCACCTTTCTTCAAAAGCTTTCTACCGGTCTGATCTACCAATTTTTAACGTTAAGATTAACATTTAGATTCCGATTAGAATTCAGAGATTAGATAAAGTTAAGGTTTATGTCACATTTTGGAGTTAGGCCATAGCATCCACCTTTGTACATAACCTTGGACAACCAACTCGAGCAACAGGTGATATAACCAAACCAAGTCATATCTCCTGTTATGCATTTGCTTAACGAGTTCCAAGAAAATCAAGTGTTTGGTTGCTGCCTGAATAAAATACTGGAGTTAATTGGAGTGATGTTTAGCATTAGGGGTTATGGTAGCTGCTAATCATCCCTCTAAGTAGCCTAACCGTGTAAATGTATAATTTATCGACAGAACCTAGGGTATTAATGTCCTATGTTCGGATTTTTCGTTCAGGATCACTCAGTCACCAATATAGTCTATCCTTACCCTTCAAATCTATGTTAATTCTTTTCTCATAAGTATCTGTGAGTGTCTCATTCGTGGGAAGAAATGATTGGGGGAGTAAACAGCATTATTTTTGGAAATCAGTTCCAAGAGTTTATAAATTGGCGAGAGGACCAGTACTTCATGGTGGCAGTTCTTCCTTAGCTTTTTGAACTCTTTTTCCATGTCCTCTGAGGTTTCGCTACGTAGTGGTAGGGAAAAAAACGTATCAGGTTCATAGTAATTATTTAGAATTTTGAATATCGTGGTTAGATCTCTGCCTACTGTGTGCCAAATGGAAATTTAATTTACGAAGTTTTTCCTGCAGAATGTTACGTGTAACCTTTTGAACTCCTACTATACATGAATCTCCCTAGGGGCAAGGGATTGATTAATTAGTGTACAGGATCCGGTTGCTTTTGAAAAAGTATTTAATAAATCCTACTACTTGGGCAATCAAATATACACTTATGTCTTGGCTCAAGGCATCGACTGGTCACAAATGAGGATCAGATATTGTTCTGTTTCATTATTCGTACTACTGAGATTCCGACTAAATAATTTGTAGATTTCAGCTATTAAGTCGGAGTCTTCTTCAGTACAGCTTCTCAGAGGAAGGTTACGCAGTAGGTTATAAACCACTTTATTCATGGAACTTTATGACACTGATCTGCAAATAAAGTGGAGTCATGTGGGATGAGGTTTCTATTTAAGATTCCTGGGTAAGTATTCGTGTTGCCTATAGACACTCACCAAAAAGGGAACTACTTAGACATGCATATTGCAATGGTATTGAAATAAGTACAGTAGTTAACCTGTCAAGCTTAGCCCTAGATTTCCATCCTTAGAAGCAAACATATTTGGAAGTGTTACATTAGTTAGCTCCAGATTGTTCAGCAAGTTATTTCCTAATTTTATTTGTAGCTAGATATTCCTTTCTATTCTCATGAATTTCTTTGCATTGTTTGGCAACCAAACTGTGTTGATGTATAATATATCGTGTGAGGATTCAGTGCGTTATATCATGAAGTTGTAGACCGGTTAAGGCATCTTGATAAATTCTCTTTGATCTTGAAGACTACGTAGATGCAAAGTTTCCAATATATGGTCTAGTAGCCGTAACAAATATTTACCACAAAGTGGGAATCGATACTGTGAAATTGTGCATAACTCAGTCTGATATTTATTATTATTATTATTGTATCCTTTAGTTCCTAGAGGAACATAGGGCTTCAGCTGCGCACCTCCATTGCCTTCTGTTTTCTCACAACTTTTTCACCCCGCTCCAGGTCTGCCCACATGCTTTCATCTCCTCCTCACATGACCTCCTCCAAGTCACCCTTGCACCGACAACCAACTCGCCACCCGCTTTCCTTTCGGGTTCCACTCGAGCGATGGTTTGTCTAGTGATGTCACTTGATGGTTTCCTCAGCGTATGGCCAATCCATCTCCATTTCTTCCTGCCTATTTGTTTCACAATCGGTTGCCGGTAGGTTCGCCCATTGACAGAGATCACCGTTGCTGATCTTTCCTGGCTGGCCATCTGATCCTGAGTATTGAGCGAAGACAACTGTTAATGAAGGTCTGTAGTTTGTTCGAGGTGGTCTTCATGATGCGCAGTGCAAGTCTCTGATCCATCCGTTTAGTAGCACTGACTTTACATTGGAGTTGAAAATCCGGATGTTATTTTTGATGCTGAGTGTTGTTGACCTCCACACAGACTTAAGAGTAATGAAAGCTTGTCTTGCTTTTCCGATGATCCTGGCTTTGATATCCTCGTCAGTTCCGTCCTCCTGTAGTTGAAACGATGCTTCACAGGTAGGTGGGTAGGTAAAGGAGGTTGTTTCTTTCAGGTTCCTCCCATTTATGCTGGCTGATTGTTGTCTGTTGTTGTTGTTGCTGTTGATGTTGGCCAGGAATCTTCATTACCTCTGTTTTATATATGTTCACTTGAAATCCTATCTTTGATGCTTCTGCCAATTTGTTGCTTTTGACTTGCATATCTTCCAGTTTGTGGGAAATCAGACATATATCATCGGCGAAGTCCAGATCCTCCAAGTTCGTTTTTTGTGTGAGTCCACTTTATGCCTGTTCCCTCGTTGGTTGCCGTTGTCTGTCGTATTATCCAATTTACTGCAATCAGGAAGATCATTGGTGATATTAATTAAGCATAATTGCATTGAAAGCTATGCGGATACACAGTTTAAACATTCAATTTTTAAGCACTGGCTTCAGTTTGGGGATGGGCTTAGGTAGTATTACCAACCCTCACAGAATAAGTGAACCCCAGATCTGACTGACTGACTGACTGATCTCAACATAGAACTTTGCACCGATGGGCAGCAGTTCAAGTCGCCACACTCCATTTAACACAAAGAGCAATATAAGAAAGTAAAAAAGGAATACAAGAAACAGTAGACAGGCATATGAAACAGCGTAGTTTTGTTGGGTATTATAAGTCACAAGGATTGGCTGCATTTGAGCTAGCCATTGAGAACGATTTTGAACCATATCACTAATTGTCTCCAGCCTTCATTGGTATTTAAAATCCCAAGGACCCCAACCAGTCAGGAAGTCTACACCTTCTTACGTAACTGGCTTAAAATAACTTGTGGATTTCGTCGACTGACGAAGCCATGTTTTGGTTCGACTACCACTAGCTCTTTTCCAACCTGAAGAATCCTATGCCAGCTAACACTACCCGTCGGTCGAGGAAGGCGATGGCTAGTGGTGTATGCGTAACACCTGTCCTAACTATCTCACTCAATGTAGCTTCACAGGCTCGTCGATTGATTTTCCCTCCTTACCTAACATCCGACCGAAGCGTCACCTCAGTATTGCTCATTCTATTATACCACTTCCCACGGGACATAGAACGCAGACGCCTATAGTCAAAAAGAGCTGGTCACGCTTTTCATGTCCTCCACTCTCAATTGCCAGGCCTCACAGAAGTGGTCGTGTGAGTTGATTGGTTTCTACACCTTATCGAACATCATGTCTTGTAGCAATATTTTTAAGCGCTGGAATTTCCTCTTTCATTATCTTTATATTTATTAACTGTTGAATAAATTTTACTTTTCACATCTTAGGTAGGATAAATATGTTTTCCAGACTCCTTTCGAACTAAAGAAGTTATCAAATTTATTGTAAAAATGCTGCATTATGCCCTTCGTCGTTTTCTCCTCTGTCGAATTCCCAATTTTCGAAAGTTTACCCCAATTTTAGCTACCTTCAGTAATATTGCTGCTAAACCTTCGGGTAAGTAATTATAATACTAATTATTATCATTTTAATTGTTATAATAGGTATTCATAATAATTCACCAGCGTTTGTATACCGATCTCATAATTGTGGCGAACTGGGTGTAAATCATGTCGATACATTTGTTTCATTATGCGGTTGGGTTGATTCTACCAGGCTATCTTCTCGTTTTCTTGTTCTTCGTGATGATTGTGGTTTAGTACAAATATACTGTGATACTAAGACACTTTCAATGCCTCGTATCACTTTAGAATCAGTTGTAAAAGTTACTGGGAAAGTTAAAGCTCGTCCAAAGAAGGATATAAACAAGGTAGTTGTCTATTAATGTTCTTTTTTGTAAATTTTTTTTGTCTTTTAGTTAATGTCTACTGGTGAGATTGAAGTAATTGCTGAAAGTGTTGAAGTTCTCAATGAATCCTCTCCACTTTCATTTATTCCAAAGGAAGCAATGACTGTTTGTTGTTATTTCTATAATTAATTAAACATTTGATTATTCAGGTGAATGAGATGGAGAGATTGAAATATCGTTACCTTGATCTACGTTCGTGGGATTTACAAAAGAATCTACGATTTAGATCATCGATTATATTACAGATGCGAAATTTTCTATGTCAAGAAAATGGTAATTTTGTAATATTCTGTTTTATATATGTATTTATTTTATCCCCCCTTCCCCCCCGTCCGCAACACAGGATTTGTTGATATTGAAACGCCTTATCTATTTAAGCTCACTCCGGGAGTAAGTTTAACCCTTAACCGTTTTTTTGTCATGTTCTTAGGGTGCACGTGAATTTATTGTTCCCAGTCAATTCCCTGGATTATGCTATTGTTTACCTCAAAGTCCTCAACAATTTAAACAGCTTTTAATGATGGGTGGATTTAGTAAATATATGCAGATAGCAAAATGTTTTCGTGATGAAACCTCTAGATCTGATAGACAACCAGAGTTTACTCAAGTAAATTTGTGTGCTCATTTCTCAACTAAATGATTTAGTTAGATATAGAAATGGCTTTTATCACTCCAGATGATATATATAAAATAATTGAAAATATGCTGGTATACGTGTGGCCTCTTGTTCAAAATGCTTCAGGATGTATGCCTATTTCAACACCGTTTCAACAAATGGAATATTCTTATGCAATGTCAAGATATGGAAGTGATAAGCCGGATGTTCGGTTCGGTATGTTACTGTCGCCTGTATCAGATGAAGGACAAATTGGTTTTAGTATACCCAAAAAGTATGTAAGTAGTTTCTCAACTGTTTTTTGACTTTGATGACACCGTCATGTACTTTTAATATATATATATATATATCTTGACCTAAAGGCGGCATTCGATTGTATCGATCGAGAGGTACTCCGGCAATGCTTGGCTGTAAAGGGAATGCCAAGAAAATACATTGCACTGATCAAGGCACTCCACTCAAACTCATGCAGTCAGGGGAGAGCTTACGGCAAGTTGTCATCTGAAGTGGCGACAACTAGTGGTGCCCGTCAGGGATGCCCACTATCCCCATTTCTATTCAATTTCATCATAGATGTACTGATGGACTTAACCCTAACTCACTTCAGCGACTCAGGGATTGATTTGCTACCAGGGAATAATCTTGTTGACTTAGAATATGCAGACGATATAGTCCTTCTAGGCGAGGACGCTGAAAAAATGCAAAGTCTTCTGAACACCTTGGCTGCAATCTACGAATGCTTGGCATACGATCAGCTCCCACCAAATGTAAGATGATGCTACAGGGCTGGACTACATTGACTCATTCCTAGTTTAGAAATAGGGAGTAAAGTAGTAGATCGTGTTGACCGCTTCACTTATTTGGGAAGTTGCATCAGCTCCAACGGGTTGATCACTGACGAAATCTCAGTACGGTTACAGAAGGCTAGTTTCTCATATGCCAGTTTACGCCGTCTCTGGCGTAGACGCGATATCCGGCTAGCTGGTTGTCTACCAAAGGGCTGGTGTACTGCTCAGCATTACGCTCCATCCTCCTTTATGACTGTGAATGAAACATAGTAGCCACTGAGAGTGAAGGACATGAAAAGGCTAGCTCTTTTTGATCATAGATGTCTGCTTTCTATATCCCGTGTGAAGTGGTATAATAAGGTGAGCAATATTGAGGTTAGGCTTCGGTGGAGTGTTAGGTAAGGATGGGAAATCAATCGACGAGGCTGTGAAGCGGCATAAATTGAGATGGTTAAGTCTGCGGTTACACCATGCTAATTCTCTTTCTGTTTCAGATACCTCAAGAAAAAGTCATCTATCACAGTGTGAGCAACCGGGAAGTTAGCAGCCGCTAACAAAATTCCGAATACACACAAGGAGTTTTCGTGACCATCTAAGTCAGTAGGTGTAGAGAGAACTTGAGATACGAAGCATTATAGTGTAATATTTTACGGTGTTAAGTACAACTATCATATCGTCTTCTTTCTGCTTAACTTTTTCTCACAGGTATCTAGTTTAACTGCAGAAGACTGGGATTCCTTGAAGAAATTGGTTTATCGTTTAACCAAACAAGTATGTTTTAACGTTAATTGGTTTCATTCAAATTATATTTTACTGTATGGCCACTACATGCAGTAATTAATATTCATTTCTTGACATCATTTACTTGATTATATAAATTCGGAGGTGATGTTTTATTTCATTTTAGGATTTATCAATATATGTCTTTGTACAGCAGGTTGGAGGCGAGGTAGTAACTCGTCGAAGAAGACATTGCGAAATGGTCGGAAGAAGTTAGAACTCATGGACTAGCCATTGGATCGGGTCCCAGTGACTTAATGGTCTGTGAGCTCGCTAGCCTTGCAGCCAGAAGGTCTTGGGTCGGAACCGTGACGCTGGGTGCGTACTGACGAAGAGTCTCTAACTAGGACAAAACAGCTGTCCAGTACTCCCAGCTGGTTTTCCAGTGGTTCTCCAACTGATGTCAGTTCATGATGAAATCCTCCAACCAGCCCAAAAAATCTAGTGTCTTTAAGTCGGATCACGGATTGTTATCAGTTAGAGAACCATTGAAAACCATCAAGGAGTACTGGACAACTGTTTCCTCCCGCTAGTTTGAGATTTATCGGCAGTGCACACCCACTGGATTTCGAACCCTAGACCTTCAGGTCACAAGTCAAGGTCGTAGGTGATTTAACCACTGGGACGCCACTCAATGGCCAGCCGATGCAATCTAACTTCTACCAATTCGTGATTTTTGTGCAACTGGCCACCAGCCAGTATCATCTCTGGCGAGTATTTGTCCTCACTTCCCACCGGGTAAACCCCACTGGTCATAACTTCTCATCAGAATTCCAGGTTACTTTGTCCTGCAACCGGAAATATTGACAAACCTCTTTCTAATATATACCATTTCAAGTTTTCGTGTTTTAAAATAGCACCGAAGGAGAAAGGCATAAGAAGTATTGGTCTATTGGTGTGAAAAGGAGGTTATCATATCAATAGAGCGATTCGACTCATGTGTTGATTTCAACTACCTATCAATGTCTACAGCTTTCTCCATTGTATCCGGCAATATCACCTGTTAGGAGATGATAACCCTCTTTCGTTTGCTCCTTGTACAGCATCTGGAGGATACTGTTGGATGTAACTTTGTTAGAATTAATTTTATTTCCTCAACAGTGATGTTCTTTTTTCATTTTGAGAACATTAGTGAACCGATCTTATTGTTGAGTACGTTTGAGAATATAATTAAACAGAAGTTATCGTGATAAAGAAGTGTGCTGCGAACGATTAGTATAAAGTGGCGCACCATTCTACACTTTGGTATACTTTTCTAAGACTTGGCTGTAAAGGCGGAGCAGCTTATTGATGAAAGCCTCAGACCTGCCTATTTTGATCTTTGACACACACACACACGCACACTAACCTTACTGATCAATGGGGAGCACCTAACTGATGTCAAAAGTTGCACAATTTAATAAAATTTAAACATAGAGTAGTTTTGTCTGGTTAATGAAAATGATGCGTCGTTGGCACAGCGGTTAGGACGTTCGCCAACCACGGATATGGTTCGGAGTTCGATCTCCGGCCAAAAGACGCACGCCTTTACCTCGCTCAGCCAGTAATAAGGCTGGTAAAGAGGGGAGGTTCGGCATGAGGCTAGCAATCCCATCCTGTAAAAGTAAACACCACTGCTACAGAAACTTCAAGCCTCTCTAACTTGAAGCCCTATTTCCCACTGGGAACGTGAAGGAATAGCAAATGAAAATGATGAACCAATAAGACCAATCACATTTAGGTAAACTAAGCTTTAGTTTTACCCAACTCATTAGGATACATTTCAGAGATGAATTTCAGTTCGTTTGAGCATATTTTACTATTTTCTTTTTCTTCTTTCATGAATTTCGTTAAAATTTCTCATAGGAAATATCAACTTTCGAGGTGAAAATTGGTCAGTCAGAGCATGCACATTTATTAAATATGTTACAAGCAGAGTATGGTGATTTAGTTATCCACCTAAAAGCAATACAGAAAATGAGGTAATTCATATTAAATTTCTGTTCTCTCCATGTGTGTTTGTGTAATTACTGAAAAATTCTTTTATTCATTATTATAATAATAAGCACTTTATTCCGAACAATAATAATAATCATATTTTCAAGTATTGGTTTTTTGTAGGGAATTGTATTTGATTAGTTGGAAAATTTCATCATGAGCTGAAATCAATTAGAAAACCATTGGGAAACCTGCAGAGAATACTACATGACTGTTTCGTCCCGGTTTGAGACTCTTCAGTAGTACACGGGCTCGTCTTGTAACCAGAAGGTCCTGGGTTTGAACCCCTCTGGGTGTGTACTGATAAAGAGTTCCAAACTGGACTGACGAAACAGTTGTCCAGTACTCCCTGTTGGTTTTTCAATGATTCTTTAACCGACGTCAGTTCATTATGAAATTTTCCAACCAATCATAATCATACATAATGGAATTTTCAGTGCTTTTATCCACATTGTAACAATTTAACTCCTCTTATAAATAACTAGATACATAGAATTAAAAATAGACATAATAAGAAAGCCACAAGAACCGGAAACAATGAATTATAAGTAGTCAGTATCATAGCTAATACATGTATTAATAATAATAATCTTTGCTTATACTACACAGTCCATTTACTGACCTTGCAAGTCTATAAGTTCTTTTCTGATATCTGACTTTCTCCCTTTCTCTCTTCACACAAAACCCGTGCTAAATATGGTGATATGGTAGAATTTTATATTTAGTAGCTGTACGAGTATAAATTCCTGTGGAGTTTCTTCTGGTTTTACCTTCCCTCGAAGAGATACAAGGAGAAAGCTGCACGAATAAAGAGGATGTTCGGTATCAGACAGGATAACTTCAGTCAACTGCTTGCAAGAATTGAAGTGCCTATTGACAATAATGCCAGTTAGCTTAGCTGAGTCAAAGGTACACCACTAATCTTACTTACAATTCTCAGTATTCTACGTGATAGGATACAGTCCTCTTTGAGAAGTCCAGGGAAGAATAAGGGGGCAAACAATAAAGAAGTCTTCATGCATTTATTCCCCTTGATAAATTTGAATAAAGCGAGAACAACATTGATTTGTGCAGCAGCTCAATTCGAAAACCTTTTCTATCAGCTGAATGATCTTACTCTAGTTGATGAGGACAATAAGAGCTGGTTCAAATCTAAGCTGGTCGACGTTGCAAATCAATACCTCATCTCACCAACGTCATATTCAAAAGTCCTCTCTGAAGAGCATCAAAAAGCATTGAAAGCTCTCAGAAATAATGACAAAATTGTCATACTGCGACCTGACAAAGGGTCAGGAGTGGTAGTGATGGATAAAGATGACTACATCGCAAGGATGAAAACTGTGCTCAATGATCCGTTGAGGTTCAAAATCGACGACTGCCAGAAAGACAAGACAGATGCAACCGAAAAACGCATCATAAACGTATTGAGAGATCTTCTAAAGAAGAATTTGATTGACAACAACACGTACAATGAATTGAAACCCCGAGGGTCCCGCTTGCCATATATGTATGGCCTTCCAAAGACACACAAGAAAGAAGTCCCTCTGAGACCTATACTTTCGATGATCAACTCTCCCCAACATAAGGTTGCCCGTTGGTTTGCGGAGAAGTTGGAACCCATTCGCCAAAGGCTAGCCGCGCACACCATAAAAGACTCATTTCATTTTGCTGAAAGCGTGAATCACATGAACGTTTCAAATAAGTTCATGGCTTCATTTGATGCAACCTCCTTGTTCACAATGATCCCAATCAATGAAACCATTGAAATCATTTGTCAACAGTCTGATCTTCTCCCACTACCAGAGCCGGAATTCAAACTCCTACTGCTAATGTGTACCATGGGTGTACAATTCCAGTTTGGCAACACTCTTCACCAACAAATAGATGGTGTAGCTATGGGCAGTCCACTTAGCCCTGTTTTAGCAGATATCTTTATGTCAAACCTTGAGAAAACAAAGCTGAAGCATGCAATTGATCAAACACTGCACAAATCAATGTTGTTCTCGCTTTATTCAAATAAAGAAGTCGAGTGAGGAGAAGACATGAATTAACAAATTGTAGGAGGAGGAGGAGTTGATTTATGTCAGAAAGTCTCAGCTTCTTTATGTAATAAGCCAAACGAAAAATCTTCTTAGGAATCAACAAGAAATGAGATGACCAACAGAGATTTGAAGAGAAACTGATGCTAAGATTAGAGATATTCGATGTACTTCCCATCATAGTGCCCTTAATATTACAGGAATCATGCGACTGTATCAGCCAGTCCACCCAAGTATTATTCACATCTGAAACTAAAATCAACAAACAGTATGACATTTAGATGGATTCAGTTTAAGACCGTTTAGGTGAGACGACTTGTCAACTTCAGATAAGAATCTACTCATCATGTGAGAACAGTGCAATGCAGAAACTACTGGAACACGAATGGTTAGATTATCATTGGCATATTTAATGAAGTTGGCTTTGTGATAGGATCCCACATATTTTGGTATTGACTGTTTAAACTTGCATATATGGTATGTTATCATTCTCACACATTTTGGTATTGACTGCTAATTTTGTATATTATCATTCTCACACATTTTGGTAGTGACTGCTAAATTTGTATATATGGTATATTATCATTCCCACACATTTTGTTACTGACTGTCAATGTCGCACATATGGCATATTATCATTTCTCACACACTTTGTTATTGGCTATTAAGGTCAATTATTTCAAATGCTGTTAGCTGTCCATATTGTTGTAAAATGTATAAATACCATGGCTTTCTTTATCGTTGTTGCACCTCAATACACAGTCACAGTCCAGCCTTTGTCTTTTGATATTTGCGTGCTTTACCAAGTCGGAAGGTACGACGAGAGATAGACAGATTAGTTCAGGCGCAGACAGAGCAAGGTGAAAACGTCTTCATTCAATTCCCCACAGTTATAACAATTGGCGACGGGGTTTTACCTTAATTCAGTGCAGTTATAACACTTTGGGAGAATACGGAAGGTCAGCCAAACAAAGAGAAGACATGAATGGAGAGAGTACAGCGCATTGAGACACACCAGTTCCTGTTAGCAGCGAAGTGGAGTGTTTTCCATTCAAAGCAGTGTGTTGTTTTCTACCCGAGAAAGGGGAAGACGGCCTACCAGCCAGCCAGCCAACGAGCCACCTCGTAACTCAACTGGACTCGATGCATGCTGAATTCCGCTTGTTTCGTAGAATTTCCCTAGGAATGGAGTGAAAAGCAGCAATGTGGTCTTTAAAGGAGGCTTGAACAGACTTTGCGTCTTTGTCGAAGCTTGAAACAGTATTGTGTTGGAGTACAATGACAGTACCTGTTGTGCTTCTACTGCATTTGTAAGCAAGCCACGTCGAGTCATTAAAAGATGTCAAAGAAGGTTTAAGAAGATGCAAGAGAAGTTTCTCCATAGTTGTCAAAAATGGAGACTTGATGGAGATTGGCCTAATCGTGAGACCTGGCCCAGAAGATGATTTTAGTGCAGGCACCACCTTTATTTGTATCCAGGATACAGGTACTGTATCCATGGGAAACGATATATGAAAGATTTTCGTAAGAGGACAACACAAAATACCAGCACAATTTTGAAGCCAAGTGCTTGGTACACCATCGGTTGCTAGTCTGTGTGACGAATATAAGGATTTGAGACATGACAATACATTCTTTCTATTCAAACCAGGAAATGATCATTTACATGACTAAAAACATCGACTTCAATCATATTGGCTTGTTGCATTACGAAAGATTGATTTAAAGCATTCACATGAGAATGAGCATCAACTGAAATTTGTTTCCTCCTTGTAAGTTGATTAAAAAGTTTCCAGATGTTAGGAGCTGACTGACTGACTGACTGACTGGTTTCCACATAGAACTTTGCACCGATGTGCAGCAGTTCGAGTCACCACACTTCGCTCAGCAAACAAAGCCAGAGAAGAAAGTAAAAAGAAACGCTGAATAGAGACAGTAAACAGAGGTATGACGCTAAAAGAATAGTAATACGGAAGAACAATATTGTTTCATTGGAAATTACAAGTCACAAGGAGTAGATACATGTGTGCCAACCATGCAGAAGGATTTTGAGCCATATCACTAGTTGTCTTCAGCCACTGGTGTTTACCGTCCTGAGGACCCTGACCAGTTATAGAGTTTAAACCTCCCTAAGTGACTGCCTTAAATTAACTGTTATGGATTTCATGGACTGACGAAGCCATGTTTTAGTTTGACTACCACTGGCTGTTTTCCAACCTGACCCTATGTCAGCTAACATTTTTTCTGTTGTCGAGGAAAGCGATGGCTAGGCATGCATGTGTAACACATATCCTAACCAGCTTAGTTGATGTATCTGCACAGCCTCGTCAATTGATTTTCCCTCCTTACCGAGTACCCGACGCCTAACCTCAATGTTGCTCACCCTACTATAACACTTCACACGGGAGATAGAACTCAAACACTTATGATCAAAGACAGCTCGCCATCCTTTTTATGTCCTACACTCTCAATGGTTGCTATGTCTTACTCACAGCCATAAAGGAGGAGGTGGGAGCGGATTGCTGACAAGTACACACGTCCTTTATTTGACAGCCAGCTAGCCGATATCATGTCTACGCCAGAGATGGCGTAAACTGGCAAATGCGAAACTAGCCTTCTGTGTCCGTGCTAAGATTTTGTCAGCAATCAACCCGCTGGGGCTAATACACTGATGTGTTAAGAGCACTCTTACACGACAAGAAAAAAAATTCTTCATTATATATCCATCCCATTTAGCCTTTTTGTATTTAAGACTTTTTATGAAAGAGAATTGATTTTTCAAATACACTAACATTACCTTATGATTTTTTTTATTAATTAAGCTCAAAACACTGGGAATAGCGCGGGTTGAAGCGGCTAAGCTGATTCACTCTAAGGGTAATGCTATTTTATTATTTGTTCTTATCTTTCGATAATGTATTTTTTGTTGTTGTTGTTGTTGCGTTTACCCTTGCATTTTCATGAAAAACCCTTCTTCCCCCCCTCCCTCCGAAAAAACAAGTTTATTTTATCTGAGAAAGCGAATACCAATTTGGGCGGTAGTCATCACAACAAATTCAAACATATCATACAAACAGGCACGATTAAGTAGACGTTTTAGATGTCTACAAATTCCAATATATCTCTTCAACTAAACATATAGAAGAAGCGATTATAACTATATTCACAAAACTTCAATGAGATTTTGGCGTAGATGAAGGAAGGTATCATGTCCTTATTTATAAGTAGTGTTTACTTCAGTAGTATTCACATTTATGCACGGTGCAAAGTACATATCATATTTTAACAAATATGGATCAATTTTCAAGTATTGGTTTTGTAGGGATTTTGTTTGATGCGTTGGGGGGGGGGATTTCATCATGAGCTGACATCAGTTACAGAACTATTGGAAAACCAACACGGAGTACTAGACAGCTGTTTTGTCCTAGTTTGGGACTCTTTAGCAGTATGCCCCCAGCGCCACAGTTCCAACCCAGGACCTTTAGGTTACAAGGCTAGCAAGCTCGCAGACCATTAAGTCACTGGGACCCGATCCAATGGCTTGTCCATGAGTTCTAACTCCTGCCAATTTACGACATAGCGCGACCATTTAGCAATGTCTTCTTCGATGAGTTACTGCCTCACCTTCAACCTGTTGTACTCTCCTGGTCACGGCTTCCTACTAGAACCCCAGGTAATTGTTTGAATAGGGCCATTTGTTAGTGAGCAATTAGGTCAGTTTTTAATTATTGGTTTGTAGGAATTTTGTTTGATTGGTTGGGGGGGGATTGGCAGAAGTCAGAATTCATGGACTGGCCATTGGATCGCATCCCAGTGGCTTAATGATCTCTCTCTGGCTCTCTGGCCTTGTAACCGGAAGGTCCTAGTTTCGAACATACTAGGATGGTGAAACAGCTGTCCAGTACTCCCTAGAGGTAGATTCCCCAATAGTTCGCTAACCGATGTCAGCTCATGATGAAATCCCCCAACCCTACAAACCAATACTTGATTATATATTTTAGAATTAGAACAAATTAATTCATTTCAACGTAATAAATAACGGTTTAATGATAATGGATTGAATGTTTAGATTTGGGGTTCACAAAATAGTAAGTCAGTGAAGTAATTAGTGTAGGAGCGTAAAAGTGGAATCAAAATTCCTATTGAATTTTAGTTCCATACTTCATGTGAAGACTACATGCGCTTACATCCAACAGATTGGTGTTCTAAGTAATTACTCCATTGACTTTTGAATTAAAGTTTGATCTACAAGACAGTAGTGAAGATCGTCAGGAACATCATTCGGCTGCATGCCTGTCTGCCCGCCACTAGTATTGTGGCGTGTGTTACTGATTAGATTTACCAATAGTATATAAAGGGATGTTCGTCGATAAAAAAGCATCAAATAGCTGCGAGATAGATTTGATCTCAGAGAAAGCGAATGATACAGTGTTACAGAGAGAAGCACACAGTATGAAGGTCAGAAGTAGCACAACACGGAAATTCTGTGCAGATGGTGATTTGAAGATAAGATGTACGTAATTTCGCCATATAGCGATACCGAATTCTAAATGAGCGTTCGTTTACCAAGTGTCTGGTTTGCTACCATTACAGTATCCCAAATCAATTCATGCGGCATTTGTATCTTTCAAATTCTATCTCCCATGTTCACTCTTGGTTTGAAATCGTAGTTTTCCAACACACACACACACACATCAGGTGAAAATTCAATATAACCACTAACTCCGATGATGAACGTTGGATGTCGGCATTCATCATTTGCCTTTTGTAACACCTCCACTTTCTGGACGACAGTACTTGAAAGTAACCTGTCTGACAGAGGTCCTAGTCCGGTGGGTGGTGGCCACATGATAGCATTTAGAGGAGGGTACTGGAGTTCAGCTACCTTCAACCTTACTGCATGATTTATAAGCAAAAATGTTAAAGTGAAGGAAATCATTGGAATAGAGTATCTGAGCCGGAAATAAAGGCAATGGAAGGTAAGAAGATCGAATTCATTTAGCCCGCACATTTTGGACATATGTGAACATTTCAATACAATAAATTAAAACAGTCATCAATAGATATATAAAGATAATTTAGTTTTAATCATATGACTACTTTTAATTTAAATTTTAAAGGTTTGTCAATCTATGAGCCTGGCTTTCATTTTCTTTGGGTGACTCAATTCCCGCTGTTCGAACGAAATGACTCAGGTACGTTTGTGCTTTTTTTTCTTCAAAAAGGTATAGAAGACTGTATCTTGAGTCGTTATCATAAAGTGTAGTTATGTTTAATTTTAAATCAAAACTTTATACGTGAACTGATTAGTGTTCGCATGGTTCCAATATCATAGATGCCACAGCAATTAAAACTAAATCGAATGTTAAATACCTCGGACTGAGTATTTTCCAGGAAGCTATTTCGTTTAGCATTCTGTGTATGGAAGTTAAGACGATCTGGTATTACTCCGTCTCTACTATTACAGTTTTTTATTTCTTGCATTCTGCCTATCCTTCTTTACTGCCCCCCTAACCTGAATGTTTCCCGAGCTACACAAGAAAATCTGTGTTTTACTGCGAAGGGGATTGAAAGCCATTATTAGGGCAAGTCGGATGTCGCTAAACTAACTCGTTAATACTGTTGTAGATAGACAGATATACGGGACTCCTGCCATTCAAGTCTACAATCTATAATAGTGGAAATATGCGATGTTACCAAGTGATTTAAGTGCCGGTTGTGTCTATTTGAAAGTGGGATTAACAAACTGACTTTTGAAGGGATTTAGCTTAAGACCATTGGTCGAAGATCACTGGCTAATTTCTCATAGAAAGTTATTCGTTTTGGAACAATCTGACTCAGTGGCACAGTGGTTAGGACTCTCACCGACCATGCACATGGTCCCGGGTTCGCGCCCTCGCCGACGCACACCTGATATCTATGGTCGGCCTGTAAATTTTGGGCTACCGATATCCACGCTGAAAATTCCATACTTGTACCAAAAATACGGTGTGGAATCAAGCTGTAATCAAAAATAAAAATAAATAAAAATAAAATAAGAAGTGAAAGGCATAGATACAGTCGGATAACTGACATATATGTGTAAACCATGAGCACTGTGGTAGTAAGTAATTCTATATTAGTTTGTTTATTATCACACAGCGATGAAACAGTATTATTTACTGGATGACAAGGTTTCGAACAAAATTTATTGCGGTTCATAATCTTATCGTCACTTATAATCACACGACTTCGAAACTTGACTTTTATAGTTTTCTTTGTTCTCTCCTATTTGTCGTCGTAGGCATGGTAGTATAATTTTCCAGATATCTGGGTGGACAGGTGTGGAATCATTTCTATTACATGTATTTGCAGTTGATTCGATAAACAAAGTTTCTGTTATCAACCTCTCCCTCCCTTCACCCTGTTACATTAGATTTTAGAACTGTCATCCTATCTCACACCCCATTGTATGGTTTTGTGTGATTGCATGTAGTGAGTGATACAGCTGAAGTATTCTCTAGATTTCTTATCGTATTCGGGTCAACTAATTTAGATTTTGCTAGGTTTTTATGCTCGGCTAGTCTGACTCACTAACCCTGTTCTATTACTTTAACCTGACAGTCATCGCAGGCAGGGTATTAGATAAACCAAATTGTTTTGTTTTATTGGCTCTACAGGATTGACTCTTCAACCGACAAAGCTTATTTCTAACTGAGTTTGTGGGGTTTGAATGCCAGCCACTTTTATTCCTGCTTGTATTGTTAAGAATTCTGCGTAAGGTGGTTTTCGAGGTTCCTTCCTTGTATGGAATTACTACTGATGATTTAGATTCCTTATTGTTGGTGTTGTCTTGCACATATTTGACATACATATCATCATTAATATTATTATTTTCACTATCACTACTATCATTATTTATTGATTATTTACATCTCCTTACATATTTCCTGACTAATTTATCACGGTAAATATTAAGTTTCAAAGCTTCTCCTATATGTATCACTTCCTGTCTTAGATTTTCCTTGGTACTACTTAGTTTTTGTGCTCTGTCACTTAAACATTTCACCAATCCGATTTTCACCGACATAAGATGGGATGATCGGAAGTCCAAATATCCTTTTGAGGGTGTGAGTTTCCTGTAAACACACTAGTGTTTAACTTCCCATTCTTCTTTCCTTTTCACGCTGCAATCTAACATTGAAAGCTCGAAACGTCATCCAGTAAATGATACTATTTATTCACTGTGTGATATATCTAATAAACAAACTAATATGAAATAAATGACATACGGAACAAGATTGGCTTCATCCGAATGGGTCAAGTCAGTCATGTAAGAAGAAAGAGAATATAAAAGGCGAAAGAACAGCTCCTTGAGGAATACCATCTAGAGTAAGTGGATGAGACAGTGGAGGGTTTCCCAATGTAAACAGTGTACTGGTTTCTATCAGAAAAATAGGAGTGCAACCACTTATTAGTCTAGCACTGTGCTTGTGCTGCAGCAAGTTTGTTTAACAAAAAAGTAAACTCCTAGGTACGGAGTCGAAGGTAGAAGTGTAATCTAGGAGGGTACACAGCACATATTATGATGTAAGACAACAGTGGTATCCAGAGTGCACCTACTCTGTATATAAGCTAATTGATGAGGGCCATTAAAAGTTTCCAATGACAGTTTAAGACTATCTGAAAGCGGTTTTTCCATTATTTTCAGAAAAAAGTTGAAGTCATGGTAATATGTCTACACTTAACACTTCATCCACTTGATGATTTAGGCACAGGAACAATTTTAATATCCTTCCAGGGGCAGGTACAATGTTAGTGGAGAATGACTCATTGAAAGTACTATTATTATTAATAATAATAATAATTTGCTTTATTCCAAAACAGTACTTGTGATACAGAATGGAATTCTCAGCATTTCACCACATACAGTATTGCATCCAGTTAGTACATTATCAGTAAATAAAATTCTACATAGATTACGGTAATCTCAGTTCATTATGACAACAACATATTGGCATGTTGGTAGTACAGCCATAAGTGAACAGAATGTCGTTTGAAGGTGTTAGAAAAGTAGATACTACTAGCATATTTACTGGCGTAAGCGGAAGAAAGAAACAAAGCAGCACATAACAGAGAAAAAACAGAGAGAGAGAGAAAAGGAAAAGAAAGAAAGAAAACGTTGTACCTATAAATGACATGAGGAGTTGGAAAGACGAGATCCAATTGTTCTACTGACTATTTATTAAGTTGAAGTTTTCACGCCTAATGCTTTCTTTATGGTATAGAACACCAGCTAAGTAGGGTATGGATGAGTTTTTGTACTTACTAGTGCGAGCATATAGTTTTCTATATAGGCTTCTGGTCTGCCTGCCTGATGAGATACAAGGGAAGAGTTGTGAATGAAGAGGGTGGTGTGAGTTAGATAGAATGAATGGATTTTGCCCATTTTTCACATGAGTCCATGTGCCTGTCAACCAGAATATTAACAAGCTGGTTAAGTGGCACGTTGCTTACCCTGCTGACAACCTTTAACATCCTGAGTAATAAGGTATAGTCTTTCTTCAGTAGCCAGCCCTGGAAAAACTAAGGGAGAACAATAAAGAGTAATAGGCAGAATGTGAGAGTTAGGGTTGGGTTATACCAGAATGTCTTAACTTCTTGATGTAGAAGGTAAGACGGAATATTTTCTTAGAAATCATCAAGATATGGTGAGACGACCAGGAAAGATCAGCAGATAGAATGACGCCTAGGTGTTTAATTTCCGACTTGGTGTCTATTTCAGCACATTTTTGAGGATAATAGCTCGAGAGCTTTTACTTTGTCAGCTGAAGATAAAAGTGGTTGAAAAAAACACCGAGTATAAAAAACCATTTAGCGTAATCTTTTGAAAAATTCATAAGTTTGATTATCGTCCAATTATTTTTCTTACTTATCACGCCTATTTTCTAAAATAGAAAAGTTAAATTACACTCTACTTGAAATGTACTCATTCCTTTCTAAATCGTTTATTGTTTGTTTAGGCCAATGGACATCAGTACATCATCCATTCACTGCTCCAACTCCAGAAACAGCCCACTTACTTTACACTGATCCAAGTCAAGTGATCGGTTTACATTATGACCTAGTTTGTAACGGTCAAGAAGTTGGCGGGGGTTCAATTCGAGTGCATAATGCTGAAGTGCAAATGTATATTTTCAACGAAATTCTTAAGGTATTTTGATGATTATTCCTTTAATTTTACCTAAATCAGGAGAACTCTAGTGAAATGGCTTATTTCTTGACTGCCCTACAATCAGGAGCTCCACCACATGGTGGGATTGCTTTAGGTAAGAAAGTCGAATAACGCCTAATCATGTTTCTTCGACCCAGGTCTAGATCGTCTGATATCCCTGTTTCTTAATACCAAGTCAATCAGAGATGTGATTGCTTTTCCGAAAGCAGCAGATGGAAAAGATCTTCTGTGTGGAACGCCAACCAGGCTGAATGATGATGTGTTGTCACAGTATGGTATTTGTATTTTGAATAATAATAATGAATGAATGGATGATTTTCATATGTTTCTTCTTTTGTCTTCATGCATACTGCTGATTGGTGTTAGGTGATGTATCTATCTGTAGGGAGTCAGTCGGAAGTCCTGGACACATTTTGTCCATTTGTTTTCTTACTTCAGCATGTACTGCAGAAGGAGATCAACAAGCACCTTCTTGTTCTCTTTGCTAATAACTGCTAGATTCATGGCTTGTGTCCATTCTTAGATTGGGGTCGATAATACTGTTTGATTATTTGTGTGGCATGACTATAGTAAAGTGTTTTAGACATCCTCAAGAATTACTTTTATGTAGCCTTCTGAATCAGGCGCGCTTTACAGATATTCTAGCACTATCTGATCACTCGCGTGCATAGATTTGGCGTCTAAGTTCAGAGGGGAATCGTTTAGGAGGCTAGTAATTTGACAACCAGATAGTGTCATGTCATATGCTGGAAGACTGTTTTATATCACTATGCGCAGGTTACAATTTCTCTTTCGCCAAATTTCAACACATCAGTTACCACTGGGATGCCTTCTCAGACATCCACACTGCCCTCAGGTAATCATAGCGTGAGTGCATACAAGACTGCCGCTGCTTCCGGAATACTTCTCTGAATTCTGATCGAACTTGATTGTGTTTCGGGTTTCGAGGATAGCTAGAATGAATACGCTGATGTAAGGGAATCAGTTCCATATGCTATCGCTTCTCACTGTCAAACCGCAATATATTCAAGAAAGTGTTGGCTAACAACTGGTCAGGGCACTCTACCCGGACTCATGCAACCAGCCTGATAAGAGCCTACGGAGAGTTGTCATATAAAGTGGTGGTGACCACTGGCATTCGTCAGGGGTACCCAATGTCCCCATTTCTCTTTTATTTCATCATAAATGTAGTAACAGCCTTAACCATAACTGACTGAATTCAGCGACTCGAGGATTGACTTGTTACCTGGGAATAATCTCATTGACTTAGAATATGCAGATGATATAATCCTCCCGTTTAGGTGAAGATGCATACAAAATGCTGACTCTTCTGAACACCTCGAGCTGTGCAACAATCTTCGAATGTTTGGCATGTGATTCTCGCGGTCCTGTCAAATGTAAGGTGATGCTACTGCAATGGAATACGCTGGCTCTTAGCTTAAAGATACACAGGAAGTGAAGTGGTAGAGTGTATTGACCACTTCACTTATTTGGCAAGTTACATTAGCCAGCCCCAGCGGGGTGATCTCTGACGAAATCTCAGCACGGATACAGAAGACTCGTTTGGCGTTTGCTCGACAACGTACACCATCCCTCTGATTGTCGACCAGAGGACGTGTGTACTGATTGGCAATTCTCTCGTCCTCCTTTATAGCTGTGAGTGAGACATGGCAGCCATTGAGAGTCGAAGTAATGCAAAGCGTCGCCAGCTGTCTTTGATCATTAGGGGGTCTGCGTTCTTCCTCCCATATTAGGGGGTATAATAAGATGAGCTATAGTGAGGTTGGGATTCGGTTGAGTGTTAATTAGGGAGGGAAAATCAATCGACGCGGTTGAATATTTGCATCGATTGAGATGGTTAGGACATACATTACTCATGCATGTGTAACTATCGCCTCCTCTACCGGCAATGTTGGCTGACATAGGATCAGTGAGGCTGGAGAAGAGTTAATGATGGTCAAACCAAAACCTGACTTCATCAGTCAATCAAATGCATAGCAGTTAGTTTAAGCCACCTGGTCCCTTACACTTGTATTTATTATCCCTCATTTGAATGTCTCTTCACTCAATTCTCGTACTTTTTGTGCTACATGGAGTTGAGAGTGGCAACTGGAACCGCTGCACATCTGTTCAAAGTTCTAAGTTGAAACCAGTCAGCAGGCTAATACTGCTTGCAATTACAAGATTTCATGAAAATGGAAAGTAAATTTGCTTTTAGCATGCATAGGAGGACGACTCTGTGCTAGCAAACATTTCCCCCCGGAATCTATCAACGCATAGTCAGTGTTATAAATCACAGTGCTGCATGTTGTTTTTTTCCTTCACATTCCCCAGTGGAACATAGGGCTTCAAGGCAGTGGCTTGAAGTTTCTGTAGGAGTGTTTAGCTTTACAAGATGAGGTTGCTAGCCTCATGCATGTTTGCTTAACACCAATCGAACCACTTAATGAAGCGGAAGTAAGATAGTAGCTGTAAGTATTTAAGCGTCATAGGATATCTGACCCAGACAGCAGCTATAAGCCCTCTCACACTTTAAAGATATTGTCAAGAGTGTATTCACAAATATGAGTGTGGATGTTTTTTGGGCAGGCATAAGCGATTGAGTGTCCTATCAATTTTTGAGGCGCCTTGAATTCGTTGAACATGATTATCGTTTAAAACTTTCTATTAGATTCTGGAGTCAGTGAGCCGTTTGTCATTATTATTACAAGCCTTATACAGAACACTTCATGTAGAATGGTGACATACATGGGGAGACACGGAAAGATGATAAAGAAACGCAATACTCAAGGTAGAAGTAACACAACACAGAAGATCTGTGGAAATGACAATTTCGAGATATGAAATCTCTCGTCTTCTGACGTTACACTTATACCAGGCTTTACTTCGTTCCTCTCTATTTCCTTCAGAGTTTTGTGTGTATGATGTCCTGATAATATTTTTCAAGGTGGTGTGTCTCTATTCTATTCCAATCTATTGGTCTTCTCTTAAAGTTGAGGCATTAGTCGCCCAGCTTATGAGAATGTGATACGTTTAAAGGAGAATTTACTTCTCTGTTTACGCCATTTTCTTATGTAAAAACATTGGAAGTATTCAAAGGAAGGATAAGACTCTCGTGGAATTTGTAATGTGTATTCAGAAATAAATTACAGTAATAAGAATCATGAGAACAACATCCCCCTTCATCATTCCATTCATTGTAGAATACGAAGGAAGCAAGGAAGAAAAAAAATCAATTGAAACCTGAATACTCATCACACTGACACATGAGGATTGTGTCAGAAATAATCACTGATAACATGCCAATTTATGGTGAGTACCAATGAAACTCAGTCAAACTGTTAATATTAATGTTCAATCTATTGAAAATTTGAAATAAAATTGATTCAGAATACAATTTTGGTTAGAGGTAACACGATCTGGACAGTAGTAGTGGTTAGAGTCAAGCATTTTGCTGTCAAGTTCTTTCATGTAGTCCTCTATAATAGTAGAATATAGACGAAAATATGAAACAAAGCGTTGAAATTACACTATCATTATTATTATTATCATCATTATTATTGTCGTTATTACAACTATACAAATCAGTCTGTGTCCATTTCAACACTAGGCATCTTATAGGTAGACATAACTACAGATGCTTGAAGGTCTATGCAGTTGATTAATATAGGCAGTAACTTACTCGAGGGTTACGTTGAGCCTGTAGCAATATTATTGTTTCTTGGGTTCACTGTACAACACTCCTCATTCGTTTACTGTTATATTATTATTACTGTTATTTTCCCTTGCGTTCCGAGTGGGATATTGTGCTTCAACGACACATCTCCACTTTCTCCTATTTTCTGCCATCATCTTTAGCTGGGTCCATGATTGACCAAGCTCTCTCATCTCTTCCTCACACGACCTCTTCCATGTCACCCTTCACTGACGACGACCCACTCATCGCTTCCCAACGGGATTCCACTGTAGCAATGGCCTAGCGTGTGATGTCATTCGGCGGCCTCCTCAATGTATGCCCAATCAGTCCATCTCATTTTCTCTTGCATATCTGTTGTGCGATCGGCTCTTACTTGTTGGTTTGTTCCACTGCAGAGTTTCTTGTTGCTAATTCTTTCTGTCCAGCTGCCCAATTGGTCTTCAGTATGGAACCAGCGAAGGCAACTGCTGATGAAAGTCTGTAACAAGGTATTGGAAATCCTTTTCTTGCCGGCGTGGAGTGCAAGATTCTGACCTGTATAGAAGAACTGACTTCACTTTGGCGTTGAAAATCCGATCCTTTTTCTTTATACCGGCTGAGTGTAGAAGTTTTCCCAACAGGTTTCAGATTGATGAAGGTGTACCTTGCCTTTCCGATTCCAACTTTGAAGTCGTCATCTATTCCAATTAGCTGTAGTTGAAACGATGCTTCCTAGTCAGATAAGTGAAGCAAGGAGGCATCCTCTGTTAAGTCTTCTTCGTTGGTGGTGGTGATTGGTGCCGGTTGTCGTTGCTGTTGGTTAGCTGGTTGGTTACCTTCATCACCTTCGTTTCTCTAGGTTCACCTGCAGTCCTGTCTCCACTACTAGCTGCTTCTTCTGCCAGTTTGTTGGTTTTCGTCTTCCCGTAAGTCCTCGAGTTTTTGTGTGACACCAGACATATATCATCTGAGAAATCCAGATCTTCTAGAATCTTCTTATCGGTCGTCCATCGTATTCCTGACTCCTTGCCCCCAACAGTCTTCTGCATAATTCCAATCCACCACAGTTGAGAATATCATCGGTGTTAGTTATTTTTATTTCCATTTTAAGCTTTCACGAAATCGAAGGTTCAGTTGTGTTATACGTGTTGAGAATTCCCTGGAATAATTTGAGTGCCGAGTCGAATTGAATCATTATTATGAAATTACTTAAAATAATCCCAGAGTGTATAGAAAATCAAAACAAGACTTTGTCTGTTCTCACCCTAGGTGATTTTAGCGACTTGTGGATTGATTGACTTGTTACCAGGGACAGTCTTATTGACTTAGAGTATGTTGGGAGAGGTTGCTGATCAAATACAGTCTTGTCAACATCTTTAATAGGCATATTCAAATGTTTGGCATGGGTGTGATTTGCTCCTGCTGTCAAATGTAAGATGGTGCTACAGTACTGGAATACACCGTTTCGTAGCATAAAAGTACGGAGTGAATTGGAGGAGTGTGCTGAGCACTTCACTTATTTGACAACATTCCCAACAGACTGATTGCTGGAGAACTCTCAGCAGGAACACGAAAGTCTCCTGTGATACTGGCGAAAATACGTCATCTCTAGCGTAGACGTGATATCCGGCTGGCTATCGATGAAAGGATGTGTGTACTGATTGGCAGTTCCCTCCTTTACAACTGTGAGATATGGCCATTGAAAGTGGAAGACATGAAATGCTCGTCCTCTATCTAACGTCTTTAGTGTTGTAATACGGCGAGGCAGGCAGAGTAAGTGGACCTATGAGTTGGTGAGTGTGAATCGATTGAGGTGTCTAGGACAGGGCATGTGTCGCTCATGCTTGGCCATCATCTTCCTTGTTGAACAAAGTAAGCTGAAATAGAACTAGATTGCAAAAGAGTGATCAAGCCGAAACCTGACACCACTCCATCAAGTCTTTGACAGTTGGTTCGAACAAGCCTCGTAGTGAGGTGTAGACTTCTCGTCTGATTGGTGTCCTCACAAATGGTAAGAACCAATAGCTATAGACTAATTGTGATATGGTTCAAAATCGTTGTCAGTGGTGCAGATACATTCACTCTTGGTGGGTCCTCTATCCATTGAACCCTCATGTCTTTCCATGTTATTATTCTTCCTCCCTCACATTTCTACTTATTATCGTTCCTTTCAAATCTCTTTTACTCCATCTCTCATTTGTCTACGTTTGTGTGGTACAACGAGGGTGACAACTTGGACCGCTACACTTCAATGCAAAGTTCAGTATTGAAACTCAGTCAGTCAGTCAGTTGCGCATACGGATAGCTATGCTGACGAGTGGGTACCTTCACCGATTTTATCATCCTGAAGGAATTTCCCATTCATTTTTGTATTTACTCGTGTATTCTGAATGTGCGTTAACTTTTCGGTGAACATGTTTCTCTCCAATTGATGAATTTGATATTGTTCTGGATGATATAATGTTTTTCATTGGATGACATACTGTTTTTCATTTTTCCGAAATCATTCCTCAACCTTCAGAATAATAATAATATGATTAATGAATTGAAACTTTGAGCACAGTTTACTAAGTCGTGCAATTCACTAACTTTCAATTTGTGACTACACTATACATCAAATTTGTGTTGATGGTGATTATCTCAAAAATAATTTAAACGGTTGAAAACAGAATGAATTGTTGGTATTAGGCAGTTGGAGGTAGTCGCACAAAGCCTAGCTCTAGACGTAGGTTTCGTGTTAGCTGGCGCTCAGCAGCAAGGCATATCTGCAACACTGGAGGAACTCATGCTCCTTTTAAGATCCAAACTCGCGTCACCCAGTGCAGTGCTGCAGTCAGAGACGATACCACTGACGCTATTCAGGCTCGTGATTCACCCCTCCCTGTAGGATGACTGTGTTGGATAGTTTTGATTGGACACTAGTCAGTAACCAGTTTAATAAGATAAATAGAAGATCGCAAAAGAACATGATGTTTCTCAACTCCTGTAGAAGTCAGTCAACTCACCTCTCACTGTTTCAAACCACTCGTCAAATATCCGCCCTAAATTATATTAGCAGAAACACGGATGACTGATAATTAAGACCACATCGTCAAAATGACAAGAGAAAAATTAAAATTTCATCGTACACATCACAACTGTGTTGTAGTCATCAGAGTAGAGTTCAGAGTCGTCGCTATAAAGTCTACACCTGATTGAAGGAGAAGGTGTTTATATTCAGTAGTCAAGTGTGATTGGATGTAGTTCTCCTGGAGATCATTCGGAAACATATTTAATTGTAGTGTGTGTGTGTGTGTGTGAAAGACGTCTGCACGTATGTGAAGTGATGAAATTCATTTAGAATTTGAATGAGATTTCAGTGGATAGGCAAAAACTATACATAACTAATAAGAACACTAATCTCTTCTACTAGTTCCAGATCCTGTTAGAGGTAATTCCCATTTGAAATACATACACAAACCGTACACACTTCGTTACTTTCACAATTAGTTCAAAGTAAATGTGTGAGTGTGCCAGATCTCAACTAAACTATTAACAATAAGAATAAGAATAATGTTTGACAACAGCTTTTGTTTTACCAATCCCTGACATATTATTGTGAGTAATGAGTTGAAGTTTCAGTTTCACATGTAACTAAGTGATGTGTTTGAAAGAAATTATGCCACATTGTGAAAATTCCTGGCTGACACCAACAGCATCAACAACAGATGACAATTGGCATAAACACTGGAGCAATTTGAATGAAGTAATCTCCTTCATCTGCCCACCTACCTGGGAAGCATCGTCTTAACTACAGGCGCATGGAACTGATGAAAATATCTAAGTGAGGATCGGGAAAGCAAGGCAACCTTAAGTCTGTGTGAGGGTCACCAGCACTCAGCGTGAAAAACAAGATGCCTATTTTCAACCCCAATGAGAAGTCAGTAATACTTTATGGATCAGGGACTTGGCGCGTCACGAAGGGCACTTCAAACAAACTACACATCTTCATCAACAGTTGTCTTCTCCCAATACTCAAGATTGGATGTCCAGAAAAGATCGGCAATAGGGATCTCTCGGAGTGAGCCAACCAGGAACCAACTGTGCAACACATTTACAGTAAGAAATGGAGATGGATTGACCATACTCTGAGAAAACAAACCATCGAATGACATCACAGGACATGCCATAGCTGGAGTGGAACCCGGAATTCGGAAGCGGCGAGTTGGTCGTCAGTATGAGAGTGACGAGAGAGGAGATGGAAGCATGTGGGCAGACGTGGAGTCAGGTAAAAACGTTGACAGAGAACCGAAAGCAATGGGGAAGTGCATCTGAAGCCCTATATTCCTCTAGGAACTGAAGGAATAAATAATATGCAATAATAATGATAATAATAATGAGATTGTCTATAAATCTAATGTGAAGACAACGAATCACAAGTTGTTATCACATACACTGCTACAGAGATTGTTGAATACTTGTGTGTAGTGTACTATTTTCTGGAATAGACTTGAGACGAGGCAGATGACAGGCGCGTCATTGTTTAAGCGGAGACAAACCTGAACAGACATTTTGATTAGTGAGTAGTCTCAGAACCTGTATCGGTATCGGTATCTTCATCATCACCACATTAGCATATCAGTTTACAACAAAATAAACTTTTTGACATTTTTGTTGTGAATATATCACAAAGAAGGTATGATTAGGAGACTTGTGAAATGAACTTACTTCTGGTTTCTAGAGATTCACCTTCATGTTGGATTACTTAAAATAAAATAAGGTGGAAATTAGACTCAAAAAGTGATACGTGAACTCATCAAAGCATTAATGGTTTCATGAATGTCACAATGGATTCGATTGCTTCTCAATTCAGAGGAATACTAGAGACACTGAATTTCAGTGGTGATTCGTGGTAACCTACTTCGATGTCCTGACTTAGTCAACACTATTTATGGCGGACGATTTCCTGAATTTCTCCCTGATATATAAAGCCCTCTGCTAACATACATTGGAAATCAAACTCCTATTTTCAAATCGGAAAGAAGGTGTGTTGAATACACTCTTGCTAACATTTTTGCTTAATATCACAAGTGCACAGTACAGTCTGGTCTGAAAGGACTTATTAGTCATTCTGTAGTATTTGAAGTTTTAAATTCAACGAAGTAGTGTTGTGTAATGCCTACCATGCAATTCATTATTGATGAATTGAAGTGAGTTTTGATGATGATCGTTTTTAAGGAATGTTCATTCATATCCGAATAAGTTGTCTGTTCGAAGAATCGACGAATTAAATGTCAGCTAATTTTGAAATTCTTCCACCATATGAAAATAATTCAAAGACTACTTCTCATAGTGAACCTACCGACTGGTTGTGAATCGATTAAGTTGGTGATTGCTGGAAAGCAAATAAGCGAATATTAAGGATTACATTTTACGGAATATATGCAGTGGATTATAGGAATTATTAAAAAGGCGGTTGCGGAGAATAAAATTTTCTTTTCGATTAAGTCACCAAATAGACAGGGCTGTACATTCGTGTATTTATATTAAGTGTGTGAAAATGTTCCAGAACTATTTCCAGCCAGAGATCAGATCAATAAAGTTACTAAGTGTAATAAACAGAAGATAAGTAGTGTTACTATTCTAGAAATATTTCAGATCAAAGGTCAAATTAAAGATTCCAATGTGCATTAATCAGGAAGATCGGATAGAAAAGACAAAATAGGATTATAATTACTAGAAAACTAGTCAGTTTGTATAATTACGGGTTAAAGGTGTAGTATTAGATAACTTTTCCTGATGGCCATAGTAAGGACAACGGTTGAATGTATTTCTTTTGGACACATAGAGTAGGATTGCGTTTTTGGATTGCCAGTGCTTCAGCTGTTCCTAGATGTCTTGATCTCACTCCCTTTGGTAGGTTGGATCGGATCTTGTATATAGCGTTGAGAGACTTTTCAAATGTGGTTGAATGTCCAGAATTCACCAGATGTTCTGTTATCGAACTGTTCACTCCACTGCGTGCTCCCCTCGGTTACCAAGCTGGATAGTGTTCCCGCTCGCGGTTTACATTTTAGCAGACAAAATGTGTGTATGATTTCAGTATATATAATGAATAATAGGTGGAGAGGAACAGATTCTCTTTCACTACAGACAACTGATGTCTTTCAAAGTGTTCATTGAGAAGCATCTTCATGTGAGTGATAAGAAAAAGAAACCTTAGAAACAAGTGACTTCTGGGTAGTGATAAGGAATATACGACGTATATTCATTTGTAAAATCAACACTGAAGTATGTCACACAGTTTTATGAGTGTGTATTTTTCCAGTGTTATTGGTTTGCTGAACGAATCCTGTGCAGTACCATACACTACGGATCTATTTGCCACGTAATATGTTATTTCCACTTTCTAATGTCATCAATACCAAAACATTCCAATAATTGTGATGGTGAACTTTGGTCAATAGACAACACACATCTGTGGATAACAATAACTTAGTAATGTATTAGCTGACATGTGGGAGTTGACAATTTCGCTAGTCAGAATCTGTGATGTGAATTGGAAGATGGATGGGTGATGAAGTTTCTGAAACATGAAATTCTTAATTGGATAAGTTGTTGTATAACTTCAAGGTGGAAGGTGTTATAAAAGTACCAGGTGACTGTTATATATTTGACTTACGGGCTACTTCATTCAACCAGTTCAAAAATATTCCGACTTTAATAAATTTGGATGAAAAGAAGTGCAGAGAATAATAATAATAACAGCTTTATTCCAAACGGTATTTGTGGTACAGAAAGCTATTTAATTTGGAACAATCTGACTGAGAGTTGACAGGCATAGAAACCGAGAGGTCATCGGCATACTTAACAAAAGTGTCTACATCAGAATGAGGCAAGTCATGTAAGAAAAACGAGAACAGAAAGGGAGAAAGAACAGCACCTTGAGGAACATCAGCTAAAGTAAGTGAGGTAGTGGAGGATTTTCCATTGTAGACGGTGTACTGCTTCCTTTCAGAAAAATAGGAATGCAACCACTTATTTGTCCAGCTTTCAGGCGAGTATGTGTACATCAGTTTGTGTGTGTTACGAATAAAAGAGTTGATGTGAAACCTTCAATCTCTGGGAATCCAGAGTTCGTCAATATTCTGCTTCAATGCTAGTTAGTATTTCATCTTGAATACTTCAGTTCTATATCTGAAATAGTAAATTTTTAATGTGCATCACGCAAGTCTCAGCCTAAATTACGATACCCGCCTTATATTGCGTATGTCTGACGCCCAACTGATTAGGCAGCATTCAGTTGACAAACTTCTCAACACTTGTGGGTGCATGTTTCAATTTACCTATTCTTATACAGCTAGGTACATAGACTGTACTAACAAGTATCACCTTAGCAACACTGAAGTCAATAATATTTCAAGTGACATTCGTCATTCATTCATTCACTTGTGAAAATTCCACCTTTTAAATTCAGGTAGACAGATCGTTTCCGATTTTCACTCTACCACTTACAAAGATTCTCAGGCTAAATAGCTATTTCTCATTCCCCACCACTTTAACAACTTCTGTTAAGTGATGTTTATTCCACCTCAGCTGCTTATTCATATCGTCACTCTGTCTTCATATCTGACGCCTAAATCCTTTCATCCTTATCACATCTTTCAAATTACAGTAAACCATTCATCGGGATTTCATTGACCATGATGGCATCTTTTTGACTTGATTTATGAACTTTGATTTGTGATTAATCACGAATTGGTGAACGATATCGAGAAGACCAGTTTCCTCGTTATACTCTACCTCATTTACTTATGCGTAATACTAATCTTCATTGTCCTAGTCGATAAGACTGTTCATTGAGAAAGCCAATGAGGCGGCCACAAAGAAATGTGTAATTTGACTCTATGGCTATTGGAGAAATCAAAGTTGAAGGTAGAATAGGAGATATGACTTCTACGAATACAGCGACGACACATTTGTGATGGAGACGTCATCACTGCAGTTCTTTAGATATTTCGACAATGAGTTATCATTACTCTCTTGTTACAGTGTGCTAGTGGCAGTGGCTTCAGCTCGATGTCTCCATGGAGTGACCTTTTTCATAGCCACTTAGTAGTACTTAGAATTTTATCACCACTGTTCACTTAGTCATAATAACATATTTATCAGATGAGAATCCGTCTGAGTCTTACTCAACTTGTTATTTAAGTATATTGCATCACATTTCAAAATGGGACTTACTTCTCTCCCCAATTGTCAGTGTGAGATTTCTGCCAGCTGAAAGTTTGAAAAGAGAATAAAATTAAATGATAGAGTGCAGTGACATTTCGCCCTGGAATTTCAGGGTTTCTTGTGTGTGGAAGTAAATTCATCACACTCTCAGTGGTTTGTATGGCAGAAAGGTGTGATCGACAGTTTTTGAATTTCTACTGTAATATGCTTCAACATTATGGAGTGAAATGCTCAAATCTTTATCAGCCTCAATCAACAGCTGGCTATATGACAATGCCACATGTCAAGTGAACTAGAACGGAAAACTCAGCGCAGCCTTTGAGTTGAAGACAGAAGCAGCATATGGATGTTTACTATCACCGATGATATTACGAATTGTGGTGAGTGGAGTGGATCATGTGACAGATTGTGCATGGGAGAGGGAAGACAGAAGTATGTTGGACCGATAAGAAGACTGTTGAAGATCTGGACATCGAGGACGATTTTGGTTTAATATCAAAGAAACTTGAAGACTTGTAGGTGGGAACTAACAAGTTCACAGGAGAAGCATAAAGAGAGGATAATACCAAAATTAAATCAGTTCTATATATGGTTCAGAGAACTGACGAGTCATCGAAAGCATTTCCCTGAGACTAACGACTTCTGCTAACATCTGCCTTGCCTCTATGATGATGATCAGATGGCCTAGCTGAAAGCATAAACAACAAACAACTCTAACAGTGCAAACAACCAACCAACCGAGATCATATTACTGAAGAAATATATGGATAAAAATACTGATGGATTAGGCAAACACCAAGGAGACCGCTGATTGAAGCTCCATCTCCAAATCAGAACCAAGAATAATAGTATTCTAATATTCAAACTAAGAAGTCTACTACTCGTTTGCTTCATGTAATAGTAGTCAATACGAGATAGACAGGTGACTGTTGCTTGAAGGACACAAAAATGCATCGCCTTTCAAACATCTTACCAGCGTCTGTGAACGTAGGCATAGGAGATACGTCTAAAATGGTTTGAATAAATCAACAATTAGCGAAAACAACCGAAGGTAAGACACGGAAGTCAAGGTATATTTTTCCCTTATCAAGCTGCTGTTTATATTACCCATCACTGAGCGTGTGATTTCGGCTTACATCAAACAACACGAAAGAGAATGTTCAAATAGATACATCGTATTCTGCTGTTAATGCAGTAGTACATAACTGTGGGGGAGTATTCTGTCTCTGATATCGAATTGAATGTTCAAATAGATATATCGTTACATACTCCACACAATTAGGCGTATTTCTCGTCGGATTTCCGAACATCATCCTGCATAGTGGTGGTTAAGTAAATGACAAACAAAATCTATTCCTAGCGCTATTCTATCTCATCTTGTGGATACAGAACACAAGATTGATGTCAACCAGGCGGCTTTCAAAGTCATTTACCGCATACCAACATATCTCAACTTCACCTTAGGAGTTCGTTTACCAAATCCTGCTGAGGCTGGTTGTTGGGATTCACATTGAGAAGCCTAATTTACGTGACCAAAAGAGGCTGGTTCAGCCATTGTCCTTACTTTGGTCATCTAGACTTGAATGATTCCTAATTTTATTTGATATTCTATTTGTTATTATATTTTTATTATTATTGTTGTAATTTAAGCATCTTCAATGAACTGTAATTCCATTGTGATCTTACTTTACAAATCGATATTATTTAAAAAACACACTGATTTTGTAATTGACTACCATTCTAGAATATTCTATGTATATAAACATATACGTATATAATTGTTGAGCCAGAGGAGGAAGAAATTATCGAAAAGGGTATTCTTTGCTCAATTATTTTGGTTTTGATAGATATCGTATTCTGTTGGTATTGCGGAACTGAACTGTAGGAATATTTGAGTATAACATTCAGTCAGCACACACTGTCTGTAACACAACACCACAACATGTTATATATTTGTAAATAAGATTATTCCTTTAGATGTTAACAGGTAAAATGAATTTATAAAGTAGACAAATCAGTTGTGTTACAACTAATACCAAACACGACAACACACTTTGAGAGTTAAGGTCAGGAGAACACAGAGGGCTGATGACGTGGAACTGTGATGTAGCATTATTCAGGGTAGTAAAGGAGTATTAACTATTACTTGATGGTAGCATGTGGGTCATATATAAACTGTAAACTATTCAGAATTTGTGAATAAACGCTACTCGTCACGATATTCTCAGTCAAGTAAGGTGAGACACTTATACGCCTGTTTACCAACGTGAATTGCATTCATGAAGCACCAAAAGTAATAAACAAGTCAGGGAATATCAATTACTAATTCAAATAGATTCATCACTTACCCTTAGTTCCGTACACTATCGCCAATAGTATGAGCTGTATCAGAGAGAATTTCATCTTTCTTGAATAACTTACTGATAAGGAACTGACTGAGTGTGTTTATATACTATTTCTGATTTAGTATATAGCCAATAAACTGCGTTGCCATTCTTCACCGACAAAGACAATTGGTCCGTTAAATGTGTACTTCTTCATCACACACCGGGGGCTTTCTTCAGTTAAAAAAAGTAAATAAGAAGTTGCACGGAAGTAGCGGCAGTGTCAATGTGTCACTCTCACACATGCTGTCACATTAGAACCAGTCTCAAATTCCACATTGTTTCAAAGTGATTGGCAATGACAATGTGTCTTGCTTCCTTAGCCAATCAGTCAATCATCTGTTGGTTAAGACACCTGAGCCAATACACCAGACAACATTTTGGTTACCAATGGTGTAGGAGACCATGATGTCTGTGTATAGACACATTTGAATCAAGAAGCTAGACACAGAAGTGATGTTCTATTGGAAGTGATCATACAGCGCAAAGTAAAATTGTCAAAGATCCTTCAGATAATCATATGGTGTGTTGATTAATGTTAAACCATTTTCTTACGAAAAATAAGTTGATGGATCCCCAATCACTGTGATCACAGTGATGCTTCAAATCACTTTTACTAGAAGTGTCAATTTGAAGTGGGTGAATTTGATTTGCGTGACTGTAATAAATAGAATTTTAGAAGACTGAAAATGGAGAAGAAAAGGTGTTCAGCAAAGAGTCACTCTTTTCGGCGATATCATTCTTAAGCTGTACAAATCGCAAATTTATAGTAATTTGTCTTGGCAAAAAAAAGAATATTTCCAAAGATGTGTCAATGCAATTGTTAGTTTTTTGACAAACAAATTACGCAATTTAGAAGGCGTTAATCGGTTAGAAACTAAAATAAAGTTACAAAAGTAGGTTGGGTGACGTAATCTAATTGATAGGGTTCAATGAAAAAATGAATGAGAGTCAAGTTTATAATCTGAGTAGAATTCACTTGAAAATGAATGAGAGTTAAGTTAATAAGCTAAGTAGAATTCACTTGAAAATAAACGAAAATCGAGTTAGCAACAGTTGTCATGAGTGTAGAGATTTAATAGAGGGTGGGGTAGAAAATAATGCAATTAAGAAATAGACAAACAAAGAAGAAAGAGGTAAGACAAAATTACGTATTTGGTGTTAAGATAGATCAGGACCATTGTAGATTTAGTGACTGAACAAACTTCTTTTGTATGCAGAGTTCAGGATTCAATATGTGAATTGCCATTGCTTCTGCAGTTTGAAGAAGTTTAATTCGTACTCTTTTGGAAAGATTCCCACGTATTGTGTAGATAACTGAGAAGTTGTTTTGTGGGTTTGCTTGGTGTCCGGATTCGATCAAGTGTTCTAGGATGGAGCTGTGGCGGGGGATCTTCTTTGTCTTTTATAAAACCATGAAGGTAAGTGTTCGCTGATTCGTTTGGATAGCAAACGCTGGGTACGGCCGACATACCTAGCTCCACATGAGCAGGTGAATTGGTAGATGCACATTGATGAGGCCCCCAGTGGAAGCTTATCCTTCACGTTCGTGCGAATCATTGGTTTCGTAGATAAAGTTAGTCTGAGTCCCGCTGCGAAGAAGGTTTTCTTCAGTGAATGGCACAGGCGGTTTCTCAGTATTTCTGCTGAAGAATCTCCGCTGAATTGTAGACTCAAATAGAGAAGTTTCTTGGGAGCAGTAAGCATGGATGGTTTTTGTGTTTTGGGCTTCATAGCTTTTGTGATGAAACGTTCCGGGTAACCGTTTTCAAGGAGGATTCTTTTCAGGGTCTTCAGCTCTTCTTCTATAGTTTTCGGACTGCAAATGTTGTGGATTCTGTGAGTTAGTGAGCGGATCAGATTTCGTTTTGTATATATAGGCACCCAACTGTGAAAGCTGATGAGTCGTCCATTCCATGTCGGTTTTCTGTGAATGGATCTTTTGAGTGTCCCATCTTGTTCGCGTCTTACTAGTTGCACGCCCAGAAAGGATATTGTTGCGTTGGACTCCTTCTCTAGTGTGAACTTGATTGCTGGATGGCAACTGTTGAAGAAGTCCAATATGTTCTCCAAATTTTCCTCATTATTGGCGATAATAAAAGTATCGTCCACGTATCTCTTGTAGAATCCGAAGTTATCTATTATCTTCTTTAGGTGTGTATTTTCTAGTTTTGACATGAAAATATCTGCAAGCAGCGGGCCGAGTGGTGAGCCCATAGCTATACCATCTTTTTGTTTATATGTTTCATTACTGAAAGTGAATTGGACGTTTAGGGTACATCTTAATAGGAGTTCCTTCAAATAGTCAGTGGGTATACCAATGTTCATCCCCTTTGAATCAATATATTCACATATACAGCATATTGTTTCGGTTAGTGGGACGTTTGTAAACAGTGATACCACATCTAGTGAGAACATAGTTTGATTGGGAACGCTGATGTTTTCAATGGAATTGACAAAATCGAAGGAGTCTCGAAGTGAGTGGCGGGAGATTTGCTTTCTGACTGGTTCTAGTATGTTCACTAGTCATTGTGCGGTACTGTGATAAGGTGAATTAGTCATATCGAGAATGGGTCGAAGAGGTACGTTTTTCTTATGCACTTTTGGTAGTCCATATAGCCGGGGTATATTCGAGCCCGACGGTTTCAACGATTCGAAGGTTTCGAGATCGATGAATGATTCAGTCTTTAGTTTTAGGAGAAGGTTCGTTAGTTCTTGTTCAGTTTGTTCCGTCATGTTCTTTTCCTTTGCTGGTTTTATGAATTTAGAGTCGTCGGATAGGATGGTCAGCATTTTACTTACGTAGTCTTCACGATTCATGACTACGATTCCCTCACCTTTATCCGGGCGTAACAGAATAATCTCTTTGTTGTTTATTAATTCCTTGAGCTCTTTATAGTGTTTTTTGGTCAGTATTGACTTTCTATTTGGTTTGGTATTCATAAATTTATAGCAGCTGTCGAGGACTACCGACCTGAACTGTTGCAGGTTCTCTTCGGAAGTTAGTGATAGATCATATGTTTGGTTTATCAGGTTTCCGAACTGGACTTGTGATTTAACTTTTTGGATTTTTGATGGTTTTGTACAGAACTTTGGACCGAGGGACAGTGCTTCTAGTTGAAGTTCTGACAGCTCAATGTTTGATTGGTTATTATTATTATTATTGTATCCTTTAGTTCCTAGAGGAACATAGGGCTTCAGCTGCGCACCTCCATTGACTTCGGTTTTTTGACAACTTTTTCACCCTGCTCCAGGTCTGCCCACATGCTTTCATCTCCTCTTCACATGACCTCCTCCAAGTCACCCTTGGACGACCAACTCGCCGCCTCCCTTTCGGGTTCCACTCGAGGGCTTGTCTAGTGATGTCACTTGATGGTTTCCTCAGCGTATGGCCAATCCATCTCCATTTCTTTCTGCCTATTTGTTTCACAATCGGTTCCTGATTGGTTCGCTCCCAGAGATCCCTGTTGCTGATCTTTTCTGGCCATCTGATCTTGAGTATTGAGCGGAGACAGTTGTTAATGAAGGTTTGAAGTTTGTTTGAGATGCTCTTTATGACTCGCCAAGTCTCTGATCCGTATAGTAGCACTGACTTCACATTGGAGTTGAAAATCCGGATCTTATTTTTGATGCTGATTGCTGTTGACCTCCACACAGATTTGAGAGTAATGAAAGCTTGTCTTGCTTTTCCGATTCTGGCTTTGATGTCCTCGTCAGTTCCGCCTGTAGTTGAGACGATGCTTCCCAGGTAGGTGAAGGAGGTTGTTTCTTTCAGGTTCTTCCCATTTATGCTTATTGTGGTCTGTTGTTGCTGTTGATGTTGGCTAGGAATCTTCATCATCTCTGTTTTATCTATGTTCACGTGAAGTCCTATCTTTGATGCTTCTTCTGCCAACTTGTTACTTTTCATTTGCATATCTTCCAGTTTATGGGAAATCAGACATATATCATCGGCGAAATCCAGATCCTCCAAGTCTTTTGTGTCAGTCCATTTTATGCCTGTTCCCTCGTTGGTTGCCGTTGTCTGTCGCATTATCCAATCAATTGCAATCAGGAAGATCATTGGTGATAGTAGACAGCCTTGCCTCACTCCCGTCCTCACTTCGAAGGCTTCCGTAAGTTTCCCGTTGTGGATTACTTGGCATGCAGCATTGTCGTATAACTGTTGGATGAGGTGTATAATTGTCGATGGGACCCCGTAGTAGCGAAGTAGTTTCCAAATGACCTCTCGATCGACGCTGTCGAAGGCCTTTTCAAAGTCGATGAAGTTGAGATAGAGAGGTGACTGCCATTCCAAGCTTTGTTCAATGATGATCCGTAGAGTGGCGATTTGATCAATACATGATTTGTTTCTCCTGAATCCAGCCTGTTCCGGACGAAGTTTTTCATCTAGGGCTTGTTTGATTCTCTCCAGGATGATGCGACTTAGTATCTTGCTTGGAATGGACAGAAGCATAATTCCACGCCAGTTTTTACATTGACTTAAGTCTCCTTTCTTTGGAAGTTTGAATAAGTAACTGTTCTTCCAATCCTCGGGTACTTTGCCCTCTTTCCACACCTTCTCCAGTAGTGGTGTCATCAAGTCCGCTGTTGTCTCTGGGTCTATTTTCAAAGCCTCTGCTGGGATTCCATCTGGTCCCGGTGTTTTCCCAGTTTTAAGCATCTTGATTGCATTCAGGACTTCTGATTTCGTCGGGGGGTCAGTGTTCACTGGTAGTTCTGCTTCCGTTGTTGGTATTGCTGGACGTGTTGTAGGTGGCGGACGATTTAGAAGTCTTTTGAAGTGTTCAACCCAGTGCTTTCTCTGTTCCACCTCTTTGGTGATTGACTTTCCATTGTCGTCCTTTATTGGCTTAATCTGTGTCGAACGTTTGCCCGAAAGGTTCCTAGTTGTTTGGTAGAGTGTGGCGAGGTCTCCTTTGCCTGCAGCTTGTTCTGCTTCGTTTGCCATGGTTTCATAATATTTTCTTTTGTCTTCCCTGGCACTTTTCTTCACTCTTTTGTTCAGTGTATTGTAGC